AGGGAGATGTTATCCACACTGAAGACATCTTCCCAGTGTTATCCACACTGAAGACAACAGCCGGTTATCTCCCAGCTGGCACAGAGGCGGAGGGAAACTGCTGCCCATGAGGCATCCCGCAGGATCCAGGGACCTCCGGATTTGCACCTCTGCCGCCTGCTGCTATTCCCTCCTTTCCCAGCCGGCAGCTCCTCTCCGCCCGGGAGAAGCGCCCACACCTCAAGTTCCCCAAATTATAGTGAAAACAGTAGCTTAAACTGGCAATTACAGTGGCCTGTGCGAGAGCTAGAAGAGCTCACCTGTCAAAATAGCTCCTCGTTACTGCAGCTCAAGAGGTGAGATCTGACTGTCTCATCCCGGTAATTTGGAGCCGAGCCATTTAGCAGCTTGGCCTCGTATCCTCCAAAATCCCTATTGGTTTCCAATCCCACGCTTCACCACGCACTTCGGCAGCACAAGGGTGGGCAACTGCAGCGCCCATTTGGGAAAGGGTAATGTCAAGCAGAGGGTGAGAGGAGCTGAAGGGGAGCAGCAACCTCTTCAATTGCTCTGGTGTCAATGACTGGAGCTGGTGAGTCCAAGCCCCAGTCACCTTTGCTGCAGAGGGACAATTAGTAGCTAAAAAGCACAATTAGGATAAATTAGCAGAACCAGCTCCCTGTCGAGCCACCTGAATTGTATAAAAGCATCTTCCTAAGCTGTGCTAAGTGCAAGGTCAAGCATGTTTGCTCGAGCCTYGAGTTTCAGGCAAGGCAGGATTTCTCACAAACGGGGCCTGCAAAACACAGGCACAACAGGATCACTTGTCACTGGGTGTAATTTCATTTCATGTCTGTGCCCTAACGTTAAATTAACAGCTATAGCAGCAGTGAGACACAACTTAATTTACCTGCAGAAACCTCCTCGAGTCTTATTTTGGAGAATTCAAACCCGGCTTCTCTCTTTGATCATAAAGAGTGGGCTTTTGCAAGCAGGGTTATTCTTCCCCTTTGAAAAGCAGCATTAGGAGCTGCTTAGAGCAACCTGCACAAGCACTAGATGACAAAATCCTACATGCTCTGAGCGGGGATGACTTCGAATCACCCCCGTGTCTCCTGCAAACACTCTAGCATCAAGCCTATCATCCTGAGCAAGTGTCACGCTCCTACAAAGCAGCAGTGCTCTGAACCTGGAGGGCTCAGGCCTCTCCCAAGGATCTCTCCACAAAATACAAACTAGACATAAAGCTGCTTCTCTGCATTTTTAAACACAGAGAGAGAAACCAGACTTCATGTCGCAGGCTGAGGAGCCGCACGCACAGCCGGTGCGGAGCCTAAGGGGCCTTTTTGCCACTCGCTCCTTCTCTTTTGGCTTCGCTTGCCCATTAACAGTCACCTCCTGGCTCAGCGGAGACGCAGAGGTGCTCGGCCCTTCCGAGGCCGGCGATGAGTCACGCTGGCAGTTAAATGTGCCCARCACCTCCAGTGAGTCACGGGTCAGGTGCGAGGAGCAGAACGATGGCCAGGCCGTTCTCATTTGCATGTGGATTTTACACCTTCTTGGCTCGTGGCTTCACTGCCCTCCTGAAAGGGCAAACGCGGCCACAATTGCCCATCGATGCTTGGATTTCATGGGGACAGCTCCTCAGGATGGATGCRTTTCCCTGGGGTACAGAAAGCAGATGCAAGATCCATCTCACGGCGAGTCTCCTGCAGTAACTACACGTCTCCACCCAAAGCTTATGGCCAGCTCCACGTTCTTGTTTGACAGGCAACCAGAAACGTGTGGAAATCTCCCAAGCTGTGGTCCCAGGAGGCAGAAATTAAAATTCCTTAGCGTCGTTGCATGTTCTCTCCAAAACAATCCCCTCTGGCTCTGCAATTCTTTCCTCATTCCTAGGCTGATTTATCCCACAAAACAGCACCTCAAGCAAAGCCTCCCATGTGACTAATCTAAAAGGCACCTATTACTGCAACACAGAGGTGCTGCAGAGAGATTAGTCACTAGCAAGACCTTCTTGGGACAGTCATTTCCTTCCTACACTTGCAGTAGACTCCACTATGAAAGCCTAGCAGTTTTTCAATCATTACATCGCTTTTTTTTTGGTTAAAGAGTTGGTGTAAGCAAATACTAGCACTTCTACTCACACGTTCAGTTCACGAACCCATTAAGAAACAAAATCTCATTTCAGGTGCTCTCACGTGAAGGATCTCCTACTGCTTCATAAACACAGACACGAAAGGGGCTCTCCACATCTCCCAAGTTCATGCTCAGTTGACTCAGCTGCAGCACAAAGCAGCAAACTCAGACAGATGTCCTGAGATGTCCCATGAAGATCTGGGCTCTTCACTAGCTCCATAAAGACACAAAAAGACAGTTTCCCGTGTGTTTTTTTGGCAGCAGTGTCCCACTGCCCAGAGAAAGATCATTCCCACTCCCCTGCCACTTTGGACAYGAGCACAGCTGGTTTGGCAGCTGTATCATTTGCCCGGGTTGGTGTGACCACAAGTTTCTGAATCTATAAAAGCCAGGAGCCAACTGAGCACATCAGCTGGGGCCCAAAGGGCAGCACAATTCAGGGCTTAAAAAAAGAATAAGTCAGACATGATTTTTTCTGATGAGAAGCAGCCTATTCCCTCATGGCAGGGTATGATTGTACCTTGCTGGTTGGAACTAAAAGGGTCAGATCCTTTTTATCTGATTGACTGAAACCAGCTGCCGCAGTGGGCTGGTTAAGATAAAGTATTATGTGGAAAAAAATCCAAATGGTGACAAGATGAGAATGCCAGACTCATGAGTCCATCAGCGAGGCACAATTCAGGCATTAAAGGTCAGCATAATCACTGCAAAGACCGCATTTGACACAAAATCAGAGCTCAAGTTTAGGAAAGGAATGACTGGACAGAAGGGGAAAGAATGTGTGTTTTTAGGTGGACCAAAGCCTATACAAACAGATGCTACAGTGCTTCAATCCAAGGTCATGCTCTGAAATACTGGGGGGAAATCTGGAGGTCGTTTTCAGCATGAAGAGGACCTCTGTAGGAAATTTAAAGCTTATGGCTCATTTTCCTAAGCAGGAATAAAATCTCAAGGCTCCTGCAGTCTCACTGAAAGGAAGACATGAGAGCGTGCAAATCCCAGAACACTGTTGAGTATAATACCCAAAACAAGTAAAATATTGACAATATCCCCCCAGGTAGCAGAGCCTCTGTTAATCAGTGAAGGGAAGGGGAAAAGGCTGCATCCTCACACACAAAGAAACAAAAATTCCACTTTGAAAGTTTATTCCAAATCTTATTGATCTCCAAACAGTACTGGGGTGACGTCGTACAACAGCTGTACGCAATAAGCACAGAAAGTAAAAGCTCTGATTCATCTCAAGCCCAATCTTGTTGCTTCTCAATGATTTGGGAAGTGCAACCTCAGTAACTCCCACCTACCTCCATTTACTAATCATTTAGCATGAATCTTCTGTTAAAAATAAATACCTTTATTTTTCTGCAGAAAAAAAGCAAAGCCCCACACATTGCTAGTGATGGAGCTTTCATACTGCTCAAGCTGGATGCTTGCAAGGCAGCACACTGACTTCAGAGCCATTTCATTCACTTCTGCACCTAAAATCACCTGGTCACACAGTCTGCGTCATAATTAGCGTCCTTGATAATCTGCAGAGCAAAGAGCAGATTACTCCAAAAGTGATTTTGTCTCCAATAAAATTAGCTAGAGACCTGGAGCAAAAAACACTGAATAACCATCTTGTGAAGCACTGATGTACATATATGCAGAATRCTAATTTGAAAAGAGCAAATTCCACCCTTCTTCCAGAAAAGGGTTGTATTCTTAAGGACCTTGCAACCATGGCACACAAGAGCAAATGAAATTTTACATTTCTGCTTCTTTGCAGGGTATTTTAACACGAGGTAGTTTCAGAGATTTCTGCATATTAACAATACCTTCAAGGGAGCCTTCAAAAATAAACGATCCATTAAAAGTAGCTCTGTGCGATCTGTAYGACACCTACATTGCAGAGAAAAGCAATTCTTTCCTCAACTTGTTCATGATTTTATTGCCTTGATAATTCCACTTGGAAACAGCAGCACAGCACTTCTTGTCTTTGAATGACAAGGGGAAAAAAAAACACACACACACACACAAAAATAGAAAAGCGTCTGCTGCCCTCCAGAGGAATAAATATTAAATTACGTCTTTAATATATGAAGCTAGAAAACAGCTATTTCTATCCAGGTTTCCAGGGCTTTCCTCAGTAGATGACAATGGTATCAAGTAAGATCCATTTCACTAAACTTTCGCAGCAAGGCAGTTGCTAAAAATGTCTGTAGAGAGGATCACCTACCAGCTCCAAAACGTGAAACCTTTGAAGTTTTTCTTCTGTTTTACACCAAAAGATGCACTGCACAGTTGCATGTTTAGTAACTCAAAGCACCTACGACCAAATTCTTCTCTGCTTTTGAGTTCATCAGCTGTAAAATGGGAACAAGAGCATCTCCCTGTCAGGCAGAAACACTGCACGGATAACCGGGCACAGAGCTCGGAGCGCTGACGCTCCCGGGGTGACTCATCCCTTCCTGACGTCTGGCTGCCCTCGGAGCCGGGATCAGTTCCCTTTCCCAGCTGAAGGGAAGAATCTTAGGGCAACGTCACACGTCATGACTCCCAAGCAAGGGGCAGGGACATAAAAGGCAGAAGCCCAGACAGAACGCCAAGAAATTGAGAGAAATTTAGCATTTCCTACAGAAAAAAAAAAAAATAGTGATAAACCACGACCTTATCTTCTGCTGGTGCTACGCGGTAGGCACAGCAAGACTGGAAGCCGAGCTATAAATACTCCTTGCCTAAATATATTTGGATATCTCACTCGAAACATTGCCTTTCAAAAACTGAAGTCTGAATGCTTTTTCAGTACTTGCCTTAAACTAAAAAACTACCTTTAAATAAAGATAAGAATTCTTCAAGAAGGCTAAAGAATACTTTAAGATAATTAAATAAATATATATGCTTACCTGACAGCCTCTGCTACATTGTTAGAAGTGTGTCCTGACAAGGCATCGTGCAGGTTACGGATGAAGTAATCCCTGTAGTCTTCAGGCAGGGCCATGAAAGTTCCCCCCATCACAATGAACTCCACCTTATCCACGCTGTGGCCCAACTGCTTCAGCTATAAAATTAAAATTACCRGCGAGTGACTGTTACCCAAAGGATTTCTTTGAAAACTCTGATATTCCTACAAGTGTAAATGTTTCCTTCATCACCTGTAAAGTGTTTTMTGCATGACAAACCATTGATACTCTTGCACAGCCTTCTCATAAGCCCATCCAAAACACTGAAAATTACCATTTTTAATGCAAAAACACAGTTTTTGAAAGATGCTTTAGAGAGAGATGATAAGGGGGGCACAACAGAGTGGCACAAGTGGCAAAGCTCTTCATCAAAAGAAGCTCAAAATGGAAAAATTACTCCGAGGGTACCTCTAAGTGGGAAAATACAGAGAAATCTGTGTAGTCAGCCACTCAGATTCAAGACAGCTGCTAGTTTGGAAATGCAGGGTCACATTAAGAGGCTGTGCTCAGCATTAACGGGCCTTCTTCACAAGGCAAATGAGTAATCGGAGTGCAGCGTCTTGATAACATGGTTACACGGATTCCCCTTTGAAGGGAGCTTAGACAGGGCCAGTAAGAAGTTGTTTCTCCAATTTGCACCAATCCACGCACAACTATCCTTAAAAATTTGTAGGGGAGAGGAATGAGGCTGAATTCATGGAGAATTCATAGATTTGGAGATAAACAGAAAAATTAGTAAAAGGGGACGGAGAATCTCTTATTTATTCATTTATTTTTCTCCAGCCAAGACCAAAAAAACTCATTTTGATAGAAAGTACATTAATTCATTAAAGATATTCTGTAATTATGACAGGTCACCAGCTGCTAATAAACTGAAATGAGAATTTGCTGGTCTAAGTGTTTAGTGGGGTCTCCTGTCAGCAAAAATTATTTCCCTGTGGGGTCAAGTTAGGTTAATACAGAATTATGGAATAGTTGGGTTTGGAAAGGACCCCTAGAGAGGACCAGTCCAATCCCACTGTATTAAGCAGAGTCACCTACAGATTGYTGCTCAGGACAGTGTCCAGCCAGGYTGGAGTATCTCCAAGGACAGAGGCTCCATAACCTCCCTGGGCAACCTGTTCTGGTGTTTAACACCCTCAGAAGTAAAAAAAAGATGTTATTTTAAAYGTTTACATTGATTTTCCGGCACTTTAGTCTATGTCCATTGCCTCTTGTCCTGTCACTGGGCACCAACATGACGAGTTTGGTTCCATCTTCCATCCAGTAAAAGGTATCATGCTTTACTTCTAAGACCCTCATCTCTTACTGGATGATGCTAATTAAATGGTAGATTATAACCCTGTCAAATGCTATTTATATTTTTCTTTTCTTTTGGATGAAAAAATCCAAAAYCAAAAAGAACAAGATGAGCAAGTCCCCAACTACCATCTCCCAGTAAATAACAACTCAGAGATGTAATGCTTGAGGCATGAGAAAGGTGGTAGAGTTGACAGGATTAATCACAAATTAAACTGCGATAATTCTAGGATTTAGCCAAARCGCAGGACATTTGAGGTTTACCTGTTCAACTCGATGTCTTGTCTGAAGGTAGGGGTCATATCTAGCTCGAATGGCCCTCATAGATGTTGGCTACAAGACACAGAGAGCAATTTAGTAATAGTTTTACTAAGCACACTAAAAATAAGTTTAAAAAATGGCACTGAAATGGATGCTTCAGTTCTACAAACATTCCATCCTGATGATTTCAAACTCACAACTAGAGAACCCATCCAGTTTTAAGTCTRAATATAAATCCCTATAATAAATCCAATATTTTTGGATATTATATTAAATACAAATCCAATATTAAAAAAAAAACAAAATGGACCTTTTTGTCCCGAGATGGCAATATCACATAAAAAGAAAGAAACCATTTCAAATTTTTCATGAATTATGACAGGGTGGACAATAAATAACCTTTGCAGTGATTCATAAATAAACACCGCAGAACTCAAACACAAAATGGTTTTCAAAATACCATTTTTTGTGTCTCGTTAAATCCAATTTATCTTCATTTGCACAACAGTTGGCCAAGGAATGTCCTCCAGAACTCTATTTGAACTTTAAATACTCCTTCAGCTAAGYACGTGCTTTTCACTGAAATTCCAACTAACTTGCATTTTATATTACTAATTGACATAACTCCCTTAGAGATAAGGTTCTTAAGTATCTTGTGTATGCTGGATTTGCTTACTATTTCATATCTTTTATATTAAATCTCTAAAGGACTCCCCTCATCATGCACAACTCCCATATRCTGTTAAGACTTAACAAATGAATGCAAAAGATACCCAACCTGACCTGAATTACAAAGCAAGTATAATATTAATTTRTAATACACAGAATTTTCTTACTTTGGAATAATGTTTAAGGGACAAATTTCAGAATACTAAATAACAGCATCTCCAAGAAACCCAAGAGAAAAAGTAGCTCCAGAAGCAGTTCACAAGCAGAAAGTTGAACTTTCCTGGTGTTTCTCCCAGGAAAGAGGCACCAGGGGACACCAGTATCATGCCAACTGCTCCTGCTCACTCCCTACTTGCTGCAACTATGGATTCAGATGAAAACAACTCGCACAGCAGCACATCAGGCAATGCAGCCACTGCACAGCAGCAACACTTGCCCTGTTTAGAGTCACAGGCTGCTCACTCCTGCTTTGAAGCAAATTAAAAGCAATAAAAGCAGCAGCAAAGTCAGGACAAAGAAACAACTGCTACGAGAATCAAGACGACCTYCCAGTCTTGTAGTAGAGCTGCTTTAGGGCTGCAGTTTATGGAGTCTGCTTTTGCTTATTCTTACAAGGAGGAATTTGTAGAGACAAAAAGTAGCTTAATCTAAATGCATTATAAGAAACAGAATTTATACCTCATATCCGGTGTAAGACTGGGTTGAATATTCAAAATCAGAATCAGGTCCACCTGGGCAGTATCTGCAAACATGAAAAAAAGAAAACAGGCAGCAGTCAAATCAATGCAACTGCACTGATTATCTTAGTCTATCTAATATATAGCCACAAGGGGGTCCATACCCAGGCACCGAGAGTCTTTCTAACCAGATATGGGCTCAGTTCCTGAGGACAGGTTAGTGAAAAAAGGCTTTTTACTGCATTTCCTTTTCAGAAAGCACTAGAATTTTAGCAYGTCAACAATGTAAAAGCCCATTTACATTTGTTTTCTGAACTCCAGATACACTAAAGATTATGGCCCACTAAGATTATTTTAAGAGAGTAATGTCCCATTTATTCTGGGTAACTGGCAGTTTAGTGTTAAATTACTATTGCAGAACCCAAAGAAAAACTTGTTTGAAACTKTCTTTGAAACAGCAAAGCAGGCTTGTATGCAGCACAGAACAACTGCTAGCTGAGAGATGAACAGTATATGAACAAGTAATTAAAAATATTTATAAATTTATTCTAACGGGACCTTAGACTTTTTTCCTGGCAGTTATTCTRCAATCAATGATCACCTGACAGAGGAAGATCAACAACCCCTTTAACTTTTGCAATATCTACATCCAGCAGACAAGGTAATAGAGCAGTTGTTATGGTGCAGATCTCAGATATAGAGAGACAAAATAAAATTCCACCTCTACCTAATCAGAGGCATTCTGTTTTCAGTCACATCAATTTACTTCCTCGTTGCCTGCCTTGCCAACTTAGCTCAAGCTATCTGTCACCATTACAGAATTAATTACCAAATACCCATGGCCAAATTAATTTCCTGGTGAAACTTACGCCATCTAATTCAAGACACTTCACATACATTATTACCTGGAACATCTCAAACAAAACAGCTGCTGATGCAAAAATAAGAATGAAACCTGCTCTGTTAGGAAGCTGGCAGTAAAATATAGTGAGGGTTTAGGAGGAATCACAYTGGAAGGAAAAGCAACGTTTTTTAGTAGATCAACTGATATGGTTAGAAAACCAAATGAGCTTTCGGGACTCAAGTCAAGCAGAGGCAGCACACTTCAAGCTACATCCACTTTGGCTTTTTAATTCAAATAAACTTTAGAGGTTACTCCCTTAATGCCACAAGGCCCTGGCAGCTCGTTTCAGACTGTCACACCAAGCAAGTGTTTTTTTATAGACAACACACAAACCTCTGGGGGGTCTCAGTAAAGCAGTTCCCGAATTGTTTAGATTGGATCCCATTTCTTTTCCGTAAGTTTTTTCCTGTCTGACTACTCTCATATGTAAAAATATTCAGATATTCACACATGTTCCTTGCAGAATACTCCTAATTCTGACTTTGAGATACACTGCTGTGACTGAGTCACTTGCCCTATTTGCTCAAAGCGGCACTAAACACAAGCATAGAAACTTAAAGCATGTTTGTAAATCTAGCCTATCACAGTAATACAGCAAAAACGATCATTAATRTATTCTCCTGGCTACTATATTCACTAAAATGTTTCTACTGAGTAGGGTTTGATCCATGAAAGGAAAAGGATTYGTCTCTGAAGAGGAAGAAACCAAGTGGAATCTTTAGTGCAATGTGCAGGGATGGGCAATTTGCATTTAGGATCAATTTCCTGCAACTTTTTGCTTGTGCAGAAAACAAGTCTGTGCACATATAAATAATCTCCAGGGGAATGCTACCGCAATACTAGATTCATACAGAAATACTGGAAAACAGCCCTCCCCTAGGTGATCCAAGCTGTCATACTTACACACATATGTTGCCTGTGAAGTTAACATGTGGACACCTATGTGGTTTACACATCACAGCCACGACAGCAATCTGCAATAAGCAGAGAAGTATAATGTACAGAGAAGTACAGAGCAGAGAARTTATAGTAAATGTTTCAGAAGTTACTAAGTGTGTATCTTGAAAGGCTATACGGAGATAGGCATTTGCAAGACGCTAAAGACATTTTCCGCTCAGCTTACCACCTAAAATATTTGTGCACTACAGAATTCCAGAATGGTTGGGATTGGAAGGGACCCCTCGGGATCATCCAGTCCCAACCCCTGCTCCAGCAGGGACACCCAGAGCACGGGGCACCCGGGCGCATCCCGGCGCGCTGGCAGATCTGCAGAGCAGGAGCCTCCGCAGCCTCCCTGGGCAGCCTGGGCCAGGGCTYGRGCACCCTCCCACCAAACAAGTTCTTCCTCACGGCCACATGGAGCTGCCTGCGCTGCAACCTGCACCCACTGCCCCTTGGCCTGCCCCTGGCCACCACCCACMAGAGCTTGCACCTTCCTCCCTCCATCCTYCCCTCRGSTMCTTGGACACATTGACCAGGTTCCCTCTCCATCTACTCTTCCCCAGGCTAAACGGGCCCTGCTTTCTTARTCTTYCCTCATAMAACAGATGCTCCAGGCCCTTCATCAGAGTATCGTCTGCAAACTTGCTCAGGGTCCCTCTGTGCCCTTGTCCAAGTYMTTGATGAACAGGTTGAACAGCACYGGGGCCAGYACTGACCCCTGGGGACACCACTGGCCACAGGCSTCCAGCTGGACTCGGCCCCATTTATCACCACCCTCTGGGCTCTGCCATCCAGCCCGTTCCAATCCACCTCACTGTCATCCAGTCCACACTTCCAGAGCTTCTCCACAAGGATGTTATGGGAGACRGTGTCAAAAGCCTTGCTGAAGGCTTGCATGAACATCCATATCAGTCCCCTTGYCCATCCAGCCAGTCATYCCATCACAGAAGACCCTCAGGTTTGTCAAACATGACTTCCCYTTGGTGAATCCATGCYGACTACTTCTCATCTCCTTCTCCTTCACCTACCTAGAGATGCTCTCTAGGATGAGCTCCTCCATCACCYTTCCAGGGACAGAGGTGGGACTGACTGGCCTGTAGTTTCCCAGCTCCTCTCTTGCCCTTTCTGAAGGCTGGAGCAATGTCCGTTTGCTCCAGTCCCCCAGCACCTACCCTGCTCTCCAGGACCTCTTGAGGATGATGGAGAGTGGCTGAGCAATAACCCCCACCAGTTCCCTCAGCCCTCTTGGGTGCATCCCATCCAAGACCATAGATTTATGGGTGGCCAGTTCGCCTAAATAATCCCTAACCCAATCCTCCACGACCGGGAGAAGGTCTTCCTCTTGCCCAGTTATCTCTCCCGTCTCCAGGCTGTGTAGGTCACAGGGAGCAGCCTTAGCAGTAGAGACAGAAGCAAAGAAGCCATTTAGTAACTCTGCATTCTCTGCATCCTCTGGCAAYGCATCCCAAGGCATTCACCCCATTCAGCAGTGCACTAACATCTTCCCTAGTCTTCCTCTTGCTGCTGATGTATTTATAGAAGCCCTTCCTGTTGTCCCTGACATCTCTTGCTAACTCTAATTCCATTAACTCTTGAAGAAAAGATGATGGCATACCAAGAAATATAAAATCCATTATTATATATTTTCAAAACTCTGACTAATCTGGGAGAAGCAGTTGACTTGTGTCAGGCCTGACAAAATCACCGTGCTCAAATAAGAAGACATAAAGCAAAGAGAATAGAGCAAAAGTTAGCTTCCTCCTTCCACCTTTTTTTCCAGGTGTCCACTTATTTTGAGCATTTAACTTTGAATACTTTTTTTTTTAATTCTAGTTGGAGTAAGATTTTAGTGAAATACTCTATAACTATATGGCAAAGAAATAAGCAAAAACCTACACAAATTGAATACTTCCGTAATTAGTTTCTTATTCTTGTTAACAACAGAGAAACTTAAAAATTAAAAACACATACTTCAGTAATATTACTACTTTCCATCCATACTCTTCTTCAAAGAAACAGGTTAAATCCTAACTTTTCACCTCTAATACTCATCAGCAGAGTCTGCAGATTAAGCTGCACTGTTTCTAGAGCAACTAAAACTCCAAGACATGATGTAGTCCCAGTTGAACTACAGCCTCCAGACACCATCCCTCTCTTCTCCCACTTGCCTTAAATTAAATACACAGCTGTTTTGAAAGCACGGAACAGACAATCTTAAAGYTGTCAATGCAGCTGTTAATGAAGTGCATCTTCATTAAAGCTTCTGGACACTCAATATTCTCATCTTTGAGGGCAATTACACCCAGTATAACTTGTCCATGCGAGAGGGGATGGTGGCAGATGGAGAGAAGGGGTGGTAGGTGCATGTGCTTACCCCACTGGCAGTTCTGATGGGCTTGGCTTTGAGCTTGGGCACCAGCACCTTGCGGTACTGGGGCGGAACAGCCGCAATGATGTCGACCAAACGAGGCTGCGCCGAGAGCCCGTACTTGGCTGACGCCTTCGTTTTCAGCCTAGAAGCAGAAAGGGCTCAAATTAGTGGCTACCATCAAACCTGCCTGGCCATCTTCCACAGCAGGGCTATCGTGTTAAGGTGCTATCAGAGGGAGATCTAGGCAGGTTCTCCCAATCTGCCTTTTGGGGCAGCTTATTTAAAAAGCAAGCAGATATTCCTGGCTACCACGACGGCAGCACTCAGCAGTAGGACAGAGAAAATAAACTACAAGGGCAAGTGATGCACAGTAACTGCCAATGTTTTGAGTTTCTGTGTGTTTTATTTCTAAAGGTGGTTTTACCCTAAACATTGTTAAAGCTGCCCCAGAGACTCCAGCTTATCCATTTTCAATGAATTATTCTCTACATAAAACTTCCATCCAACTAATTGCCCACAAACTCAGACTCCAGCCAGGTTAATTTTCAAGATATTATTCTTTTCCAGCATCAACAAGAAGTTCACAATTATATCATGAAAATAAAATAGGAATATTGGGCCAAAATTTCAGGTTTCATTATTCTACATATGGGAAGAAGGAGAAAGAGAAAACAACTTCATTTGTAACACGTTGCTAAGAAAAATTACTTTATTATTGCATAAATTATTCTCTCCTTCACATGATGGGATTGACTTTGGGCCTAGCAGATGGAGACAAACACAGGTTTCTTTGGGCTTTTTTTCACAATACAACCCATTTCATGCTGTGAGCATTGCCAAGAGAGTAGCGAGGCAGAATTTCATAYCAGCACAAAAGTGGCAAGTCTTCATAGCTGAAATTATAACACGTTTCATTGTCAGGGAGTAGAAGTTATGGTAYCCCATGGAAGCAAAATATTGTTTTAAAATAAAGCTTGGATATAACAGGCTGCACAGGACACGTTATACAAGAATGAACCAACTCTCTGGTTCACCAGGACTGACTACTGTTGGACTCGAGGATCTTGAARGTCTTTTCTGACCACAATGATTCTAAGATTCTGGGACTTACTTGTTCAGATTCACATCTTTCCCCTGCTCATGGGCCTCGATTAACTGCTTTATGATGTCCGCTATCGTCATCATCATCAGCTCTGCACGGCTGAGATCTCCTGAAACAAGAACCAAACAACAACCCACGTGTACACAGGAGCTTTCCAACCACCTGTTACCAACAGGGCTCACCTGCTTCATATTTTCAACATTTTCCGCGTTTTCAGGGTGCCATGTGGGGGAAATCTCGCACCTGCACAACCAGATTGTGCCTTCCCTTCAGAGACAGCACCTTCCCTTCACAGACAGCCTCATGTCACTACTTTTCCTTTTCCTCCTGGGAAGAACCAACGGCCCCTGCACGCTAAACACACGAGCCGTGCGATGGCAGCAGGACGTGGCCCAGGAACCTGAGGTGGCCTCGAGGAGGAGGCTGGAAACAGACCCGTAGGGAGAGGCCGCCCCTCACCAGAACCAGAGCCACCTGCGGAGCCCGGGGAGGGCACGAGGCCCCGGCCATGTCCCCTGTCCCCCTCCGGCTCCCCGGAGCCCCGGCCACTCCCCCATCGCCCCGGGCACCCGTAGAGCCCCGGCCGTGTCCCGTGTCGTGTCCCGTGTCCCCTTTTCCCCCGGCACCTTTTCTCTTCTGCCTCATGTTGGCGCCGCCGCTCGCTCCCCTCACGGCMCAGGCCCAACGGCTCCTGCCGCAAAGCGCCGCCGCCCGCCTCGCCTCGTCGTGAAAGCGCCGCGCGCCCAGCGGCGCTGCCGTAAAGCGACACATGGAGGCGACATGGGATGGGGGGGGGGGGGGCGCTGATGAGCGGCGCATGCGCAGTGCGGGAGGGGCGGTACCGGCGCCGCCCGCCCGGGGGCGCTGAGGGGAGAGACCCAAAATGGGGGGGGCGACAAGATGGCGGCCCCAAATCGGGGGTGGCCTCGAGCAGGGGCATGGGGAGGTGCAGAGGAGGGGACACGGGCGCAGCCGGTTCTGGGATGGTTTAGAAGCAGGACATGGATACAGCTGAGCTGGGGGTGTCCTAGAGGTGGCAGGACACGGATCCGCCCTGAAATTCCCACCGAGGGGAATCACGGAATCGTTGTGGTCGRAGAAGGCCTTCAAGSTCATCGAGTCCCACTGTAACCCTGTCACCATCATTCCTGCTAACCCGTGTCCTGAGCGCCCCATCTACACGTTTCTTGATCACTGCCAGGGATGGGGGCTCCACCACTTCCCTGGGCAGCCTATTCCAAGGCTCCACTGCTCTTTCCATGTGGGAATTCTTCCTAATATCCAACCTGAACCACCTTGGCACAACTTGAGGCCATTTCCTCCTGTCCTATCCATAGTTATTTCAGAGATGAGACCAATCCCTGTCTCCCTACAACCTCCTTGCAGGTAGTTGTAGAGAGCACCAAGGTCTCCCCAAAGTCTCCTCCAGACCGGCCCCTTGTCCATGTMCTCCTTCCTTTGCTCCCTCTCGGCACTAGAGGGTGGCAAAGGATTTCAASGAGCTCCCTCCAGCTCCAAACAAGGGTGGAATCSGGCTCCAAGGGGTCTGGAGACACCRTGGCTCTTGTGAAGGGCTGKGGGGATCCAGAGGCCTCCAGGAATTCCTGGAGCCCACGGGAGTTCCAGCATCTCCGGACASGGACCTACAGTAATGTCTCGGGTGAGGAGCACTCTCCTCTGGTGTCTTTGCTGATGGCAGATGCAAAAAAAAAAAAAAACCCAACAAATGAGTATAAAAATGAGGAGAGATGGTGGCATCTCTCTGTGTGTCCCACTCTTGTGGATTGGGAGAGGAAAAATTGCTGGGATCCACCAGGAATGGGTAACAGGAACAATCCATCAGGAGTGGCTTCACTGTGGAAGGTGGCAAAAGGGGAACTCCAAAGCGCCGCCTTTCTTCAACTGCCATGTGATTTAAGGGCAAAATGAGCGGTTTTTGGCACGGTGCTCACAGCTGGCGTAGACCCGGGCAGCAGGACTTGCAGAAAGGGGCCCGGGCACGTGGGAAAGGCGGGAGCACCGGGACTTGGCTCCCGAGAACAGCCTGGAGCACCCACTTGGAGGGCCTTGGGAGAGTGTCCCTGCTTGCCCCATGCATCCAGGTGGGATTGGCAGCATCCCGGCCAYGGGAAGTGGGATCAGGGAGCAGGCTGGAAGCACCTCCTGCCCGCAGGCCTTTCCTGACAGCTGCATCCAGCTTCTCTCACGCGGGATGCGCTGGGAACGCTCTGCAGTGCCCACACCGGGCATTTTGCATCCAGGAAACGACATCCAAATTCCCGGGAAATAACCCGGTTCTGCAGGGGGCTGCACACACTGCACAACATGCACCTGGAGGAGAGGCCGGGTGGCTCTGCCCGTCCTGCAAGCAGGTCCCCAAGGAGCACGGGAGGCCCCTGCAGCCACGCAGGGAGGTGACTGTTCCAAGGCCAAGGCAGTTGCCCTCACACCGACTCTCCCACCCCGTTCCCTTCCCTTAATTTATAYGTCCATAAACACGATCCTGTGTCGCTGACTGCTCAGCCCCGTGCTCTTTGTTATGTGAATCATTGAATTTTATGATTTCTGAGCAGATCTGGGCTCTCTCCTCGCTATCAGCTACATCCACCTATTGCAGCAGCTTTTTATCTTGCCATCTCTACTATGATGGGTCTCTTCCCCTTCACCTCAAGGTCTCTGTGCTCTTCTTTAACCACATGTGGACCAATAATCATCCCACAGCCGGGACTTAGCTCCACAAATGCTCTTCCTTCCTCACACTCCCCTCTTGGGCTGCCCCTTCARTGAGAAGTCACCCCCAATTCCCCCTTTTTAATCAAACTCTGCTCCCACCTGCAACTTCATTGGCTTCAGCTGCACATGCTGCTTTTCTCGAAACAAATCCCTGTTTCTTCCAAAGAGCAAAGAAGAGGAAAGCTTCACGTTGGCTGCAAAGCCCAACTTTAAACTCTGCCGCTGCTCTCAGCAAAAAGCACCGGGCAAATTCAGGTGGAGTTGGGGGCAGAAACGGGCGGTAAAAGTTGGGTAACAGCACAGCTGGCGTGTTTGAGTTTGCTCCCCACATCTGAGCGTGGCTGTAGCCTGGGGCCCGCAGTTTGATCTGGCTCGTCCCGGGGGAATTCACATGCAGCCACGCCGATTCATTGGCCTCCGGGCCTGGAAAGGGACTTGCAGTTCTTTAATCAAGCACGGCAGCTAATCGCCCTTGCACAGGATCTGCAAATACTGAGCAGTGCAGGGAAATGCACATCTAGGAGGGAAGGCACACGCAGAACAGCCCTCTTCTGTACTTATTGAGCGTTTTCTTATCCACATATCTCAGAGCGCATTATCAGAGCGGATAAATCCCACCCAGCTCTGCAGATCAGCAGCTTGAGGTGATTCCGCTCGCCCAGGACTGGTGGCGGAGGCAGCTGATGGAGCCTCTGTTTCTCTCTTGCTTTTCTCTCCACTCCAAGTCCTGGCCCGTCCTGTTACCTCAGGAATGTTTGTGAAGCATACGGCAAATATATATTTTATTCTAACAAATGGTGGGAGTTGCCTTAAGGCACTCTATAGGCCAGCTGTTATTTCAAGGATAGATGATTTGGCTTTGTGGAGCCTTGGGCAACATTAATTACCATTAGTAATTTTACAGCATCATAAATATATTAAAAAAGTAATAATAATTAAAAAAGAAATAAAGAAAAAGAAGCTTTACAAAGCAGAGGAGATGGCCTTAAAACGTGCAGTGAGCACACAAGATGCATGGCTCACTGCAGCCAAGGCACATGAAGCTAAGCCTGGTCTAAATGAGACAAAAGGAAAGAAACCACTTAAGAAGCCACAGGAACATCCATGATGCTCTCAATTTAACTTGGTTTTCCGGGAGGAAAGGACTGTGATGAGAGCGCTGCGATACCAGAGAATTGTTGCTGATGAATGTTTCGGGTGGGGTTTACCCAAGCTAACTTCAGATATCCCAAAGTTAGCTTCCTTAATCAGAATTAGTCAATCTAGACTCCTAGGTGATCTATGGATGCTAAAATATGCAGGATTTCGCCATCTGGAAGTTCCTATTTCAGGTACAAGCAAGAGAGCTCAGACAACCAGCTCTTAGACCATTCCTTTGGGTGAGACATCTCCCCTTTCCAAGCACACAGAGCAACCAAAAAGAAAAAAGAATGAGCGAGGGGAGAGAGGGATGCTCTGAATCATCTAATCATTGATCACTGAATCACCTAATCATAGATTTGGCCCTGGAAATGCACCCAGCAGCCCAACCAGCAGAGCCACGGTCCGTTGTGCCCATTCATGCCCCTTGTCACGACAACGGGCAGTGCCACTTGAACCCCTCACGTGGACTAGCACCCAATAATGTGCTCACAGAGGGGAGGTCTTCTCCAAATCCTTGTCAGTTAATAGCCAGTATTTTCTCTGAAACGTGATTTCCAATCTGTAAATGTTGAGGATTCATGGATGTACTCTACTTCTTGCCACACGGAAAGGCCCTTTTTTTTTTTCCTGGGCATGAGTTTGAGTTGCTATGGATTTCATCCCTTTATCTGTCAAAATTCCTCTTTGTTGAGTTTCCTGGATATCTCCTTAATACCTTATTTCCATTCCTTTAAATAATCAGACTGGTGTCAGCTCCTGACACAGCACCTTGTGCGTTGCTGTATTCCAGAGTCTAGGATCTGGCTTCATTCTCACAGACGTCAGGCGTGTGGTCAAGTTGCTGTGTGGAATTGGCAACGTTTTCCCTGAGCCTTTGGCTTTGTAGTGAGGACACCCCTTATGTCACTGGTGGCTGGTGAGAACCTTCCATAATCCCTCTGTGCCCACAGAGAGAGAAATTTTCCTATAATTCCCTGGGAAGGCATTCCCAGGGGAGCTCAGGCCATGGGATGTGCCCCAGGGACACAGGGAAGCTCAGCACAAATGAGGAGGAGCGTCTCTAGCAGGGTTCTGCATCGGCACCTTCTGGTGCAGCAAGGCCAATCCACAGCTCAGACATGGTCAGTGGTACCCTGGGGACGATGTGCCCAGAGATAAGGAGAAGCTGGCACCAGCTGGAGAGCGGCAGCGACAGGACACAATGCTGAGACGCTCAATAGGGAAAACGAGATTTTGCACCGCTTTGGAAACTGCAGATCCCACCTGGAAGTGCCAGGGACAGGCAGGAGGCACTGCTGTACTCACAGAAAAGCACCAAGTCCCTGCTCCAAACTGGCCTCCGGGCAGCTTGGYTTCTTTTGTGCAGCCTAAGTGAGAATGGACCAGGATCTCCCTGCCCATTTTGAGGTCAATGGGAATGTCCCTTTTAGTGAGAGCTGATAAAAATAAAGCTGGATCCTTGGGAAGGCTTCAAAAGCGACTGCTCTTCGCTGAGCACAGCCTGTGAGTCCCTTAATGTTGCTGTTGTTTCCCAGGCAGATAAGCCTTTGTTCTGCTGACATGAAAGATATTCTGGATCCTCCTCACTCCGTATCAGATCCTGGGTTTGATGGAGGAATGTGCCATGGCTGCGCCTCAAACAGCAGAGGTGCTAGAAGGAGAAAAAAACCATGAGAATCAGATACATTTAGTTAGAGAATTCAGATTTTAAAGATATTTAGGTACTTAGCCAACCCTTGGGATTTCAGTGGCATTTAATGCTGCAAATGCTTTTACAAATCTGGATAGTATGGCAGGTCTGTCTCCATTCATCATCTCATTATAGAGAAAATAATAATATCAAAACCTCTTTAATCTTCCTGCCCACCTTTCTGACCTTCTGCAAAGCCAGCCTGGGAAAGCCCAGCTGCAACACAAGCCTAAGCTGCTAAATTTACCCTGGGAAAAGTCCAGCAGAGGTCCGGGAGAGGTCACTGAAGGAATTAAGGGAGGATTTACACACAAAAAAAAGTATAGTTTTGCCTAGGAAATTGCCCCTAATCCAAAAGCCATCCCTTTGAGACAATTCACCTTGGTAATTTTTGTACCACAGCGATGGGGTTTGTCTGAGGGCCTGGTTTTAAATTTCTATGGGCTGGACAGCTGTGCAGCGAGCTCCATCCCTGCACCTTTCCCAGTGTGTTATCCCGGTCTGTGTTTAAATCCTTTCCTCTGGCTCCCACGGATTGGGATCAGTCACCTGCCCTGGGGGCCTTCTTCGTGGGGGATGGCCTGTGCACCTGCTAGTAGTGCTGGAAGCTGGGAAGATCCTGCAGGTCTCCACACGCTCTGCTCTCCTCCTCCTACATGGGATCATTCCTGAGCACCCACTGCCTTGTAGGAGCTGCCCTCACTCTACAATCTCCTAAAAAATCCCAGACAGCATCATGTCAGATGTCTTTTTTTCCCTTGTCCACTCCAGGTTCTTTATCCACAACCCCTGTTGGTCTAATGAAAAATACCACAGGTCCCAAAACTACAATTCCTACCTGGACAACTCCCTTGTGAACCATAAGGACTTTCACCTCAACCTGAAAAGCACAGAGTGCTTCTGAGACACACCGAATATTCACCCAGAAAACCAGTGTCTCTCCGGAGGACCTTCTGGAGATGYTGGGTGTACCAAGAGGTCAAGTCTAAAGGAAAAGCTGCCCAAGCCAGATCTGGACTGAAATGGCATAAAATTACTTTCAATGGTGGCAGTTTGCCTCCTTGTTTTTGGGAGGTTCTCACATACCCACTGCTTTCTCAGCTGTTCTGCAAGTTGCTTTCTAATTTGCTCAATAAGCCCCTGATGCCCATTCCTGGTGGCATCCATCCAGGGTCTGGCAGTCGAGGGACTTTGGACTGAGCCCACTATGACTTTTGCACCTCACATTCCTTGCTTTGCCGTTGAATTTTACTGAGCTAAACTCACRGTGAAGCCCTTGGTGGTGTTCACGATGGCCATGACACACAGGTGGATCTAGCAACTGCCAGATTTGAAATGTTTGGCCACGTTTTCACTTCCAAGGCAGCAAAACACACTCACTTGTAGTCCCACTACCCAGAACGGCCCCCGTCTCCTTTGCTTGCAGGAATATGCTTGCTCTGCTTTGCCCTCGGGAATATTCTTGCACCTTCTCTTTCCCTGTGCGCGCTAAGCTTGGATGGGATCTACAGCAGCTTCCAGATGGGATAGGAGAGCCTACTAACATGGACACCTGGTGTCTGTCCTGAAGTCCTTCCTCCCTCTTTCACGCCGCTTGGGTGCTGCTGCTTGGACGGGCGCTGGTCGTATCCCCGCGTTCCACTGGGGGCTTTGGATTAGGGTCTTCAGAGCAGCTTTGCTGGGCACCTCTCCCMCCGGCTGCTGAGCGGCCCAGCTGGGACGAACGGGCGTTTTCGGAACGGACTCGAGATCCGTCGGAAGCGACAGCTGGGAAGAGAAGGCAACAAGTATCATCCGAACAGCCCCAGAGGAACTGAGAATGTTGGAACCCTCTGAGATCTTCAATCTATAAGTTATATCCCTAACTGATGGTATGAGCATAATTTGGTACATTGAACAGGGGCTCTGTTATGTGCTAACCTTAAGGACAAAAGAACCCAATTAGAAATTGATGTCAGCAAGGCCAAGCCCTCATTAATTGACTCTCTACATCAACCCACAAATGAATGTGCAAATTCCCCCCCATGCTGATGGCTCCAGCTCCTCCCAGTCCCACCAGCTCTTTGGAGTCTTGCAGTGCAAAGGATGTTTATATTAATATATTGCTGAATAACCAATTTCCAATCGGGATAAAAGTCGAGCAGAAAATTATCCTAGCAAGACAGTGATTGTTTATTCCTTCAAAAAGGTCCTAAACATTTAAAAAGCACAGGGGAAAGTGCTGCAGACCAATAACCTTGGCTCTTTTTCCTGGATACAATTTAATTGCTAAGAATAATCAATACTATAGAATGGAAGGACTTAAGTAGAAACTTATTAGGAAGCAACAAGGACAGGTAAGTTGGACGTGCAACTAGTGCCCATGGTAACATGGCTGTGCAGAAAGACCCAGCCTTTCTGGTCTGGCTAGGCTATGTCTTTAGTCTCATATTTATAAGCTGAGCTTGAATTTCCAAACATTATCCTGGGTAGTTTTCCCTCTCAGGAGCAGTCCTCTGAAGTTAAAAAAAAATTCTTCTCTGAGTGAGTAAAATTCAAAATAAGCTTTGCAGAATATAGGTGCTATCAATACACCCTGCACAGGACGGTGGAGTCGGTGCCTAGGGCCCTGGATATTCATGTGGGATGTACCTCACATAACATTAATGTGATCCATACTTGAAACATCAACTCCTGGTCAAGAGGACGTAGGAAAATTTACTCCTGACTCAAATGCTGGAGTCTCCTTCCCTTAGGATACAGGTGGTGAGGCAAGAACGACTGCTCCTGTCTAAAAGATGTTTAGGGAGTGCTAAAAATAAGGCAGTGATTCAAGAACAGCTGTGGAGTCCCTCAAAGAGAAACAAACAGAGAGCTGAAAGGCAAACCCAGCATTGCAGCAATTGCAAAGCACCACAGCAGAAGCACCGAGCTGCAGAGTTTTCCCCTTCCTAATAAAGTACCCGGGAATGACAGCGCTGGGACAGCAGCCGCTGCAGGCACCGCAAGCATCAGGACAACCCATAAAGCCTTGATCCACCAAAGTGCTTGAAGTTAACACTGAAACTAGTCTTAGCCTTAAACTTGGGCATTTCCCCCGCTGCAGACCAAGGGGAATCACTGCTGAGCTGTATCTGTCACAGGATCTTCACTGAGCTCCCTATTTGTGGTGCGCTGCAGGGACACATGCRCGTGGCGAGGCAGGAACGGGGCCCTTCATTCAGAGACCTAATTTACTTTAATGCATTGTAATTTACTAGTTACTGTAATTTCCCTAATTTACTTTAATGTAGTTTAATTTATTGTAAATGAAACGCGAGTCTTGTGTCTTTTCTGCCACTGTTTGCCTGATTAMTAATAAACTCCCCAACCCCACAGGTTTACTGGGAGAAAAACTGATTCACCGTATGCCAACCTGGAGCCAGCGGAGGTAATTCCAGGAGTTAGGAATTACTTAATTACTTTTCTTTCKTCCATTTTGGTGTTCACTGGGTGTTGTTTGGCCTTCTGTTCTTGGAAATCTGTATAATAGCCCTTTACACATCTTCCCTGTTRGCTGCAATATCCTTCGTTCTCATCTTCTTGGATCATTGATCTATTCCTTTAGCAGCTTCATTTTAATATGACTGGATGTTTGCTTGCTTGGGGCATTTATTCTTTCAACATATTTCATTTGGCTTCTAAGGAGTTACTAAAAGAGGCATTAAGCCTCTTTATTTGCACTTGATTAAATATGAGTGCTTTTAACAGGTCTTCATTTCAACAAGATTCCCCAGTGCTAATAATAACAAATGGAGATGAACTCAGGGTAATTCCTAGTTAGTTATATATATTCTTTTTCGGGCATCATCCTATATTTTCCTTTATTGTCAGGTAGTGCTGTAAACAGCAATGGCCAGGCATATCAGCAGGGCTGTAATTTGGGATTATATGGAGAATAAATACGACAATTTTGCAGCTTAAAGCAAAACCTCCCACAGATGTTATGCAGGAGGGGGGTGACTTCACATTGGGAGCCARCCTGGCTACTTGTGTCCTTCTGATTGTGAGTTGCTGGTTAAACAGCTTAGAAGATGACATAATTTTCCAAAAGTCTGGGGAAAGAAAACCAAAGTCTACCCTCAACTAAGAACCATTCACTTCTGTACTGACAATAAAACAGCTTTAAATTTGAAACAAGAAGCCACAGTGGAATGAATCTCTGTAAGGGCTCTCTGCTCTAACGGCTACTGAAGCAGCCTTTGGAGAATGGAAATCGTTAGACACGAGCTGAATAACTTAAATTATATTTTCTGTTCTCCAACAGTGACTGAATCCATTTCCTGGCAAACAGGCTGTATTTGGGTCAGGAGAAGGCCTCTCAATCTCAGGAGACAACACATCTCTTTTATGTAAACCCTTTTCAGCTCAACTCACATGTGTTCCCTACATTTCATCAGTTAGGAGATGCGTTCCCAGTTTGCAAAAAATCTCAATGTGCTTGTAAATACGTCCTTCTCCTGGCAGTTATTTGTTGCTACAGCTACAAAAGCTGAGACCCATGGTGCTGTCTGGACCCCTCGCTTCCCTGCACTGCTTTCATGTGCGGATGCCCTATTTTACCAGCAATGAGTGCAATGAATCCGCAGTATTAAGACCTAAGGGCTGCTTGCTTCAGCTTGGTGCAATGAGCAAAGTATAAATTGACATCAGAATACAACGCCTACAAGTTGGGAGCAGCTTTGGGCAAGGATTTAAGGGGCAAGGATTTGTCATAGGAGAACTGATGCAGTGCTTTGTGAAGTGCGGGAAGTGGCTGGCAGGACACTGTGGCAAAAATCGGACCCACAGAGTCCTTTTCCCACCAAGGCAGATGGACCATGTCTAAGTTGCAGTGAGAGACTGTCCCTGGAGCAGCCTGCCATGCTTATATCCCTTATATTCCTTATATCCCTTCTGGCTGGATACCTCCCTCGGGGCCAAGCAGCACATGTGCCTGGCAGCCTGGAGCAGCATTTCACCATTCCCGAAGTTGACTCCATGGGCCCTGGCTGGTGCAATTGCATCCCAGGAATACCCACCAGGGAATTTGCCTTCCGGAGCTTGGGAGCTCCTCGGGCCGCTTTCTTCTTTTTCTCGGCTGCCTGATGGCTGAGGTCTGGGGTCTCCCCTCCTCCTTTCCTYCTCCTGCAGGGTGCAACAGAATAGCATTAAGAAGGTTGATTCCCCGAGGTTGAGAAGAAGAAAATCCCTTCCAGGAGGCAACAAAAAGACATGGCTTAAGCTAAAACCCTTTATTTTGCCCTGGTAAGAGCACCCAATCAGCTACTGTGGCTCACAGGAGGGCAGTAATTCACTATTTTTTAAGTTGCTGTAACCTTCCTGCACCCAAACACGTGCCCTTAGCTTGAGGCTTCCTCATTTCAGCTAAAACGACATAAGTGGCTTTACATCAACTTCAAGGGATTCCCAGAAAGGCAGGTACCTCTTTAACCTARTTTATTGGAGAATCATTAGTTCAGTCAGGGTAACCTGCAACCTAAATAAGACCTGAGGATTGCCCTTCCAAAAAGCTGTTTATTCATTGCTTTTGCAGTCAAACACCTTTTTTTTTTTTTTTTCTTGCATATGTATATACATTTGCATGCAGCTATTATTAAAGTCAATGTAATTACCTGGCAGAACAGGAATATTCCAGAGCGTGAAAATAAGTACACTGGAATACAGCCTGCTGACGTGTTATGCCATTATCTGGTGTAGAAAGCTACATTAAAGCTTTTTTTAAGAACTCAGATCATAAAATATGTGCTCTGAAAGTGTTTGTTCCCCTTCCACATTCATATTCTGCAAATGATTTCACAGGAAACTTGACAAAAGCAGCAAATTCGAAGCAGGTCTTTAGCACATCTAGCAGCTCCGTTGCCAGCATTCCTGATTTCCTGGGAGGCATGTAAGAATGCACATTATGGGTGCAAAATCAGGAATATTTGGGCTACAAACTGCCTCTAAAAGTGACCTACATCCCACAGAGAAGCAGGGCCGCACACACAACAGCCCCAAATCACCCAAGACCGCTTGGTGTCTGTTCTCCTATCGCCCCACACCGGCTGCAGAAGAAGAACCACAAAGACAAATCAGACCCATTATTTTCGAAGAGCAAATTGGGGAAAACTGCAGCCTGTTTATAAACCCTTCGCTACCAGCCAAGAGAGGAAATCCGATCCAATTATAGGGAATGCCACAGCCATCCCTGGACAGACACGCTCCTTTCTGCCAGGAAGAGCTGCCATAAGGAAGGATCTCCACTAGCTTCAATGGGGAGTGTTGGACCAGGTCACCAACCTCAAGCGCTGCCTCCTCGGAGTAAGGATGGTCATGGAAGGGGAAGGAGCTTTTATTTTGTCACCAGAAGCAGCAGGGCTCTTCCTCGAGGCACAAGGACACCAGCCTGGCAAGGAGCCAGCGCTCGGATGGGGATTCTTTCTSCATGATAAAAGTGGGAGGCAAAGCTCTTGATTTATTGGCAGCGAGGAGCGCAGACACCAGATGCCTTCCGGCAAGGCTGCACATGCACGGAGCCAAAGGAACGCCCTCCTGTTCCTCTCCGGGCAGGCTGTGCTCCCAGCAAACCTGGGGAAAAATTGCTGATTTGCTCCATGTTTTAGATAAAAAAGTCTCATTTCACCTTTGTGATACTGCTTTGCAGCCCAGACCAGACAAATCCGTCCTCGCTGCTCCCTGTTTTCTTAGCATCTGAAATGAAAAACTACCTGGACAGCTCAGGCAGGAAACAAAAGCGAGCTAAGTGAAATCACCCTATGATAAATAGCACAGAAACATCCAGCAACGCTGCGGGTCACAGCGATGATTCCAGCACGGGCTTCTGATAACCCCTTCCAGGCAGCCTGTAATTCAAGCCCTGCCTGCACCTTTTCTCCTCTGCACTCCTTCGACTCCGCTCTTAATTTCCCTGCTCAGCGACTACGAAGCTTCTGCCACATTCTCCCACCTGAATCAAATCTTCTCCTCCTTGATGACATGAACAGCAGCACTGGCCACAGAAAGAGCTCCTCTGGTTGCTCTACAGAAAGCTCTTGGATTATTTTACAAAGGTAAATTCCCTCAGGAAGGACGTGTGGTCCCTTTGGCTTCACAACAGGGTAGTTTTGGCGCCAAGGAAGCATCTCGGCTACTGGTTCCTCTGACATGACCAACATGGAATCAGATGACACCTCTGCCATTTAGCTGACATTTGGGCCACAGATTTTACACCAGATTAAGATGAATGGGAGTGTTCCTACCTCTCTGGGGTACCTCCTACCTACCTCCTACCTCTGGACTAGTAGAGTATATAGCATGAGATTCTGCAAAGAGAAAACTTGGATGAAGTGCAAGAACTACAAAAAAATCTCTCCTTTTTTTGGTTACCTCTTAAATTCTGCAGAATTTAATCTGACATTAGGCAGACGAACTTTGATTCAAAGAAGCAGCCAGTGACTAGTCTTGCATGTAGCTTTGATCCCGGCGTCAGGTATTCCTTTGATGTAATCCTGTTTATTCACCAGGAATTTTCTGTAAGTCCTGTTTTCTTCAACACAGCAGAATTCAAACAGAAGCAAAATGGTTTCTCCGCCCTCAGTTTGCCAGTCAACCTGGTGGCCTCCAGCCCCATCTCTAGATGGGGCCATCTCCAGCCTCATCTCTAGCCACCAATTTGGCTGCTCCCTGGTAGTTCTGCTGCATCTTTCAGATACGCTCAGGATGTGCGGTGAGAAATTTCTGGTTCCTCTTTATACACATTCACACCACAACAAACCTCATTTGCCCCTCCTACAAAACACACTGTTTTGGGAAATCTCACCTCTTGCTTTACGAATCTCCATTTATAGAAGTTTCATTTCTCCTGGCATTTAGTTTACAGGAACAGCCAATGTTATGTCCTCGAGCTTCAAGAATTCATCTGACCTGAAAAATGACTGTACCTAGAACAGCCTGGAGGGACAGAGACTTTTATCTTGGTTCCCTGTTTTACTTTGCTATCCCAAACACCGGTCGGTCCTGGGCTGCCTAAGCCGGTGAGTTTGGGGTGAGATTAAACAGCTTGTGAAGGGTTYGGATTTGCCTTCCTAGCCCATGGATGAGATGTCCTTGCCCATGAATGAGATGTCCAGATGTCTCGCTGCTCCTGCTGCCATCAGGGAAGAGGAGGAAATTCCGAAGTCACCATCCCAAGCAGCCACTGAGGACTGAAGAAGGGACGTGGGGCCTTAGCTGGAGGAGATCCGGGCTGCAGAAGGGACCCTGCTGACCATGTACCCAAAGAAAAGAAGTGAATTTTATTACAAGAGTGAGGAGTTGGGTTGGCACCTGAAGCGACTCAACCTGTGCTGCTGCACGACAGCAAAAGCCGCTGCGGAGGAGACGCACATGAGCAAGTGCTTGCAGCTTAAGTGCTATTAAAAGGAGAGCCTCAGTAAATGAGGAAATCTCATTTCTCTCCTTGGAATAATCCTCTGTAATTACAGATAACTGCCAGCTTTGCTAGAACAGTGTGCATTAAAATGTTCTCCTTTGCACAAATGGAGAGAAGTTCGGGTTTCACTTAGGAGAGGCAAACACGGTCAATGTGCTTCATGTAGCATTAGCAGCTCAGGATCGTTTGCTCCTCCTTGTCACTGCACCTACAGCTCAACAGCAGAACATGCAACTTTTAAATCCTTTGGATAACTTGTCCCATTGTCGATACATGGCCAAGCACAACTCCAAACCCAACAGAAGCCTTTTGCAAGCTGCTCTAGAGAAACATCTAGCACCACTAAAAAATAATGTCAGAACTTCTACTTGCAACAAGAAGCACTTTAGCAAAGTGCTTGGTTAAGAGTCTCAGTGAGCTCTGCAAAAAATGGTGCTAGAGTCGGGAAACGCACCACAAAAAGAGGGTGAGGTAGAAACTGGAAGGCTCTTTGAAGTGATGCAGTATCCTAGTCCTAGGGGACGCGGATTAAAAATGATTCATAAAAGGCTTTTGCTCAGACACTGGGAACYCTGCGGAACACCCCGGAGCAGCGGTGGGTCCAGCGAAGTTAAACACGTTGAGAAAGAGCCCACGTGAGCACATCACTGCTGAGCCCAGACCTCTGGTCTGGGGCAATTCATGGGCTGAGTGTTCCTGTGCACAGAGCAAATCTCAGCTCTGTTAGATATATCAGTTACATTCTTAAAGGGCAATCTGGATCCTTCAAGGTTTGAATTGCTGGCACGGTCAAGAGAGATGAGCAGCACCTCAGCACATGCAGTGGGGTGAGAACCCTGTGGTCCTTCACACAGGGACGAGCTTCCCTTTTCACCAAGCTTCCCCGTTCATCAGACTCAGGATAATGATGAAATTGGTGGAAAACCTCAGATTCTGAAACCAYGTGATGCCAGATGTGTCAAAGGAAGACAAGGGGCTGTCTTAACACAATTTGCTATGCAAAACTAAGAGAGACAAGAGAAATGTCTTTATCATGATGGTTGCTGAACAGACAATTCTGGGAGCTGATGCACTACTGGAGCCAGGCAGTCTCTCTCTGGTAGTCTAGCTACAAAAACTACTCATTATTGAATATTATGTAGCAGATATGCACAAATATATAGTCTCACACATGCACTCTTATTCTAATCCTGCCCCATGTCACACAAATTGAAGAGGGAAGAGGCTCTTACGCCCGCCTCGCCTGTTCGATGGGATCGTAGTTGTCGAGGTAGTTGAATCGGATGGTGTCCGTCGGGTGCCTGTCAGAGGAGCGCCACGGCGGGAGCACCTTTTTCTCCTTGTCTCTCCTCTTTCCTAGCACAGAAGCTGATGGCAAAGCTGGCGAAAGAGAAGGTTTTGCCTCGGGGACGTTGCTCCTCACTGGCTTCACATTGGTAACTACAAACTCATCCCTTGGAGGGGTCTAAGAAGAGAGAGGAAGAGAAGAAAGCACATTTTAGACTTCAAGGGAAGTGGTAGTTGTGTGCTTAACTTTAGTCTTCAAAGAATTGGGTATTTAACCCCAAATCAGGCCCCAGTTGACAGAAATAAGCACCCAGACAGGGCAATTCATTGCCCATGTCCCAAATACTATGTTAAGATGATCTCATCTCATTTCTGGATGCATTGGTTTCTCTCCATTGACTATGGAGCCAGCCTGTGGGGACTGGTTAGAATTAGAAATAGGACTTTTTAAAATGTTTTATGGACACCGCAAGAATCCCACCTTCACAGCCTCCAAACCATGCATCAGTCAATCTCAGAAGAAACCCATGACTCTTGAGTAATGCTCCACCTCTAGAAAACAGCCCTGCCAACTGTGAATAAGACAGAAAGAGACAACTCCAAGGGATTTTAACGGGCTGACTGTGCTCTTTTTCAATACACAARCTAAAATGACACTGAAAATTCAGCATGGGTGAAGTAGAGTGCCCTATTTCTGCTTATCAGAGGACCTGTTGATGGAGGTGGGCTAGGATATGCTCTAGAAGGTGGGGAAGAAGAGAGGGCAACAGCCTTGAATGATGTTTTTATATAGTTTCTATTTTACTAGTGCAAAACTCTAGGAAGATAAAAGAGATAAGAGACTTATAAGCCCTGCTGGCTCCGAGTTTTCCCACTGGAGGTTGGTACATACCTTTGGCCTTGTAACACGCAGCTCTTTCACCATCTCAATGTAATGTTTCTTCCAGATTCCTTGCTCAAATGGGGTTGGGGAGAAGTTGATATACCAGCCAAAACGTAGGCACTTCAGCATCCAGAGCTGATCCAGCTCCGACAGGTACTTCCAGTGCCAGCTCACCTGCAGATGCACAGTAAACTAGGTATAAGAGTAGAGCAAAATCTTGAGGTTTCAAGCATCCAAAATGATAACAATGGGCTAGAGACCATCCCCTGTTGATGAAGCTCCTCTTTGGGCTTAAAACTAGCACAGTTCTGCTTATGCACCATTTAAACCCAAATTCAAGGTCTTTSTGAGCAGTGATCAGTATATAAGCATGTGCTGAATTCCTCCAAAATCACTATCCTAGAGGACACATTCCAGTCTGTTTGAAGTAACTCCCTCATTTCTACTCAGCGAGCATACAAAATCAGCCTGAAATAAAAAGCCTTCATGAGCTATCACTGGCAAAAGCAGCAATAAAACCACCCCAACACTGACAGACCCATTCTCAGTGTTTTCTGTACCTTCGTGTTTGCCATTACACTCCGTCATGCAGCCACCTTGCATCAATATTTCTTCCTGCCTAAGGGCAAACACTTTTATTTGCACAGCCGGGCTTATAAACACAGTTATCCAATGATATGACACAAGTGGCCTCATAAAATAAGTAAGTGCTCACCTAATGCCTTAGCTAAGTAAGACATTTCCTAACCTGTCTTCTCCCTTCYTGTGAATGAATAGTGGGAGTTGTATCTACTTAAAACATGAAGYGTTTTATGGAGAAAGATACTAGAGTGAGCTTTAATAGGCTGAGGTTTTGATATAGTAGTTTTATTATCTGCAGTACTATGTTAGTGTGGTGATCATGGCACTAATATCTGAGTTTATTCAGAACTACTTCAGGTGCTACCTCATAGCATTTTATGCCTTGCAAACTTACCTTCRGAGAAAGAGCAGATCAAATCCCTAGCCACTGCATTCAAAAACACCTCTGTAAGGTTGTTGCTTCCCCACACCCAACACTTCAGCTTCAAGTGTTTTAAAGTGTCTGGTGTTTGCTATCATTTCTCTTAAAGCATCTTATCCAGTTCTTTGCAACCCACATGGGCCAATACTTTCCAAAATGATAAATGCTTTTGCACACAGTGCAAAAGAGCATGATTTTCAGGAAGAGCTAGACCTCCTTCTTCAGAATGACTGACCTCATAAAATGCCACAAATAAAAGCCTTAGAGCTGAGCAGAGCTGAGCATCCAGAAATRCTCTTCACTTTTGTAAATCTTGGCTGCTCTGACTTAACTCTCAGGATGCATCTGTGCATGTGCAGTGTTGAGTATCCTGCAAGAGTCCTGCACTGAGCCAGTCCTGAAGACGTTTTGGCTTTGCAAAGAACAGCACTGACGCGTAGCACAAACTACAGCTGCTTCCTTCTGGTTCCTTTCCTTAACTGGTGTGACCTGCCCTGCTGAACCTCAGGTACGTGTTTGCTTTCTCACCTGTGCACACCGACAGAGGCTCCGAGGATCCAGGAAGGAGAAGATGTACAAGGAGAGCACGCGAGGGAGCTGCATGGTGAAATCCAGCGCCTCACGGGGCACTCGCTCCTGCAGGTGCCTGGCGCAGAATTTCTGCTGGGCCAGGGAGCAGCGCCCCAGCAGGTCCCCCAGCACCCGCCGCCTCTGGGCGTCCGTCCACTTGTCAAACTGCAGGGCAAGAAACAACAAAAAGGGAGTTTCAGCTCTGAGAAACCTGAGCTTCAGTTGGTTAAAATAAAGCACACATTTAAGGCAAGGCAAAGGGCAGAAGCAGCAGCTTGTGGTGACTCGTGCCAGGGCAAAGTGAGCACACAGGGACAAATGGAGACGCTACATGGGAAGAGATGCTGAAGCCATGGAATTTATGATTTCCTGTCCTCCAAGGATCCAGGATGGCCCAGTCTGGCAGACGCACATGCTCACAAGCCTGGAATTAGTTCAGAGCCTTAGCTTCACTCATGGACAGAAAGARACCTCGATGTGTGGTTGCAGGAGCAGGTCGTAAATCAGATTGAGTTCACTGCCACTTCCCTGACTATCCTGGCACTTATATAGCCCCAAAACTGCAATATTTGAGAGCCTCAAGAGCTGCAATGAGTTTACTCTAGCAGCCCCACTGCACAGGGGAGAAATATCCCCCCCATATCCTTCTCCTGCTTGGTGGCAGCCAGGGTGGCAACAKTTGGTGTTGAGCTCATGTTGATGGCAAATACCTGGTGTCCAGCTGGTGCTGACAGGAGCTGACGGGAAGGGTCCTGGCAGCAGGAATCTCCTGGGAAGGGACTGACCTCATTTCCATAACAGTGAAAAATAGGAGGAAAAAGGGACTGTTCTCCCAACTTTCTGTGTTTTTTCTTTATTGTGGGTAAATAATTTAAAGTCCACTGTCCTCTCTTCACCCCTCAACACAGCAGAACAGAAATTCAAATCTCTTTTCCTCTGTTTCCCGAAAAGATGCTACGGACAAGTGAGACGCTGGCWGAATTATGGTTGAAATTATACTGAGCACGTGAAAAGTCATGCAGAGGAAAGTCATTTAATCCCAGGTCATTTGGAACAACTCTCCATTTCTTTTTCTTTGGATGTATCTAATTCTAGCACATGGGAAGAGATCACAAGAAGGAAATAAGTCTCCTGCCCCGGCAGACAAGGCTGCAAGACCCTTAGGAAGGCAGCGAGGACAAGTAGGGCAGAATCAGCATTCCTGCCAGGAAAGCAGGCAAAGAGACGGAAGCTCCCCAAAGTCCGTGCCTTTCCAAGCACCACCGGCCAGGAGAGCAGGGATACACCCTTTCCCTCCCATCCCTGCTTTGCATGGAAATATCCCCTCTAATGGGGCTTTGCAGAGGCCTGGGTAAAACCTGAAGCAGGAMCAAGGGCTTGGATGTGTGTTTGGAGACATAAAATGAGACAACGATGGAACGGGGAGGACAGGGGGGCCCTGCCTGCCCCTCCTCGGCCTCGGCTTGGTGGGAAAGGCTTTCCTGGTACCGAAACTCCCCATGCACCATCGCAGCCACATCCTCTCCTGATGGGACACAGCCACCGATTTGTGGTGACTGCTTTTTGTCCCAGACTGGTGCCAAGGCCAAGGGGGCAGGTGGTTTCCTTGCCCAGAGGTTGGATCCATCCTGTTTAACCCTTCCCAGCCCACCACGGATTCTGCAGCTCTTTGCAACACCCTCTGCTCCCAGGGAAACGCCACTTAAATCAGCACCACATGGGAGCATGTGGATCCCTCCCCACCACATCCAACAGCGGCCACGGAGCTGGGGAACCATCACATTAAGAGCTGGAAGAGAGAGCTCTGTTGTAGAGCRCCAGGGCTGAGGAAGGGCCTGGAGCAGCTCTCGTGTGAGGAGAGCCCGAGCGAGCGGGGCCTGCTGAGCGTGGAGAAGAGGAGGGTGAGAGGGGAGCTGGTGAGTGTGTCCAAGGAGCCGAGGGGAGGATGGAGGGAGGAAGGKGCAAGCTCTGGTGGGTGGTGGCCAGGGGCAGGCCAAGGGGCAGTGGGTGCAGGTTGCAGCGCAGGCAGCTCCATGTGGCCGTGAGGAAGAACTTGTTTGGTGGGAGGGTGCCCGAGCCCTGGCCCAGGCTGCCCAGGGAGGCTGCGGAGGCTCCTGCTCTGCAGATCTGCCAGCGCGCCGGGATGCGCCCGGGTGCCCCGTGCTCYGGGTGTCCCTGCTGGAGCAGGGGCTGCGCTGGGGGAGCCCTGGGGGTCCCTTCCAACCTCAGCCATCCTAGGATTAAGGGATTAACCAGCATGTCCCCATGCTGCATTCAGCCGCCTTTCTCCTCAGTTCCTCCCCTCGCCCGCGTTACAGCAGCCCAACCAGTTGGACCGGATTCCCCTTTGGAACGTGCTGCGCCTTCCCCATCCGCAGCCAGCAATTTTTTTTCCCCCCTTCTCCTGCCTTTCCCGGGATGAACAATGTCTCCGCAGGGACTGCAGGACACAAAGGCCCCGCCGGCGTGCGGGGGAACGTGCGGGGGAACGTGCTGGGCTGTGCCTGGACCGCCGCCCTCCCTTTGCAATTAATCCTCGAGTCCGTTTACAATTAATCCCTGAGTGCACAGGCACAAATAATGGTGCCTGACACGAGGGGAGAGCCCGGGAGCGGAGCGCCCAGGCAGGGCAGCTTGGGGCTTAACCCAAAGAGGCCCCAAGGGACGGGCTCTGTGGCGGATTTGAAGGAGCTGCTGAAAGAGGCCGTAACCTTCCCCTCGGACCGGGCAGGGTGAGACGAGTTCCCAGGGTTAAAATCACACGCTCGGCAAAAGGAGGGCTGGATTCCCCGGTCAATGGGGCAGAAATGGTCGTTGCCTCCCTCCCCAGATGGCCTCTCTCAATCCTGATACAGGGATTTGTCCCAGCTCACCAGTGGGTGAGAGGAGATGAAGCAGCCAAGCCCCAGGTCTCCCTAAGACACAGCGATCCACTGAGCAAAATGGGAAGCTTTGCTGGTTCCAAGGAGCTCCTTGCCAGGCCCTTGCAGCTTGCCCTCGCACCTCCTCTATTCTGTTTCCATCACTGTAATTAGAAAAAGTCTGCATTGAACCTGGAAGTTCATTGAACCTTCTCCTGGAAGAGGAGATTTTGGGAAGGTTTATGGGGAATGCTCCGGCCTGGCAGCACATAGTGGTACCCGTGAGCCTGAAAATATAAATTACCAGCACAGACGTGGCCCCCGGCTGAGCTGAGTCACTCTCCGGGCTCCCCTGAACTGTCTCCACCTCGCTGGGTTATAAAGGGAGCTGAGGCGCTCGAATCACCCACAGACACTTCAGCTTTGCTGTCTTAATCTGCAAACTCAACCTCTGCCTCATTGTCAATTTAGTCATCTGGGTGCCAGCACGAGAGCAAGGAGCACTGGGGTGCAGCAAGGTGTTTTCATGCTTTTCAAGTCGATGGGAGGAGTTTTTAGCTGGCAATGTTGAGAACATAGCAGAAAGYGAGGCTGAAAGGCAGCATGCAAGAGCACATGTCCGGGGAGCAATATAGTAAGGCTAGAATAAAGAGGAAAATTGAAAGAAAAMCATTCATGCCTTCCCAATTTAGTCCCAAAAGGGTTTCAGCTGAAAGAGAGCAGCACAATTTATCTTTTGCATGGGCCTGGGTGACCCACAGGTGACACACAGCCACCTCATGTCCCTGCACGCAGGGAAAAGCAGCCCCTTTGGGCCAGCGAGCTGTTTCTCTGCCTGTTTTAATGACCACAGTTGCCCAAGAGACATCAGTGACATTCTGTGAAATGATGGCACAAAAGACCTGGGTGAAAATGGAGTCCTGAATGCATGTAAATAAAATCAAGGGTAATAATTTTAAAGAATATACCAAGTGTAATCTAATATTTACGTGGCTGTAAAGGGAAACCACTGTGGCAATGCTGCTCAAGGCAACCTGTTCTGCCTTCCCAGAAGGCTAAATGGTCCTGCAGTTTAAAACAGGTTAAGAAACACAGARCTAGTTCATGTCCTGCCGCAAGGCAGGATCTGCTCGACCTAAACCTTCCTGACAAGTGTTTGCCTAACCTGTTCTCCAAAGGCTGCAGTGATGGAGATTCCACCCCTAAGCCCTAGGCAAGCTATTCCAGCAGCGAGCTATCTGTACCGCTAGGTTTTCCTGATGTCTAAATTAGATCCCATCACAGCAACTGGAGGCACGATTCCTTGCTCCGTGCAATGTGAGTGGGGAGATAAGATTATTCTTTTCCTCTTTTAAACAACTTTTACATGTTATTTGCAGGGTGTTACTATGTCTCTTCTCTGTCCTCCCTGGAATAAACAGATGGGTTTCAAATTTTCTGGACCTGAGGCTGTTCTCACCTGCAACTTATTCTCTGAAGTATCTCCAAATGGTCCTCACTTGAAATATAGTGACCAGAACTGCCTTCCAGACAGCCCGTGAAGACACTGTCCTCTCTTACAACTACRAGACACCATCAGCTCATACTCAGTTTCTGATCCACCATAATTCCCAGTGGGTTTTTTGTTGTAGAAATGCTACACACTTGGGCTTTCTTCGCAGTTTTTGTAATGGCCGTTCTTAAATGTAGCACTTTTCACTCATCCTTATCAAAATACATCCAATTTTTTTGGCAGATTCTTGGCATTCATGGAATCCCTCCAAGCATGGTATCATCTGCAAACAAATATGTTCTTTCCATTCCATTGTCCAAATATTAGTTGCAGTATTGATGGGTTCTGGATTTAGAAGAGACTTCAGGCTTGCAGCCTACAGTCATTTCTGCCTGTGCTGAATCRGGGTTCCCACCAAACAACCCCACTTGTCAGCAGCTTCATGCTGAGAGCACTAGGAGCCCGTGTGAATCAACAGGAAAAGTCCTGCCAAGSGGCCTGTGATGTTTTGACACGTTTTCTCCCAAATTGAAACTGCTCTAGCCTCACATACCACCCACCACCGTGCCACAGGCCACCAAGGCTGTAAGAGCAGCTTTTGTGCTTTCCTCGCCCTCGTCATGGGTGTGATGGATGCCATAACCACAAGAAAAAACAGCTCTAAAGGAGCATCATGACAGCTACGATCTGGTGTCATATGTAGGGTCAGGCAYTTAACCCTGCAGAAAATGATCCAGCACTCATGTCAAGGGGAAGGTTCATTTCCAGATTTCAGTTCTTTCACTGAGGGTTCCAATTAACACAAATTTGCACTTTTGTCACCATATATCTCATTGGCATTTTAAAATACCAGCACTTTTCAAGCTGAGTTTCAGATCTGACAGTTACTATCATGCTAAAAAGGGGCTTTTTGWACAATAATCATGCAATTACTTTGTTTTCTTGGTTTCCATGAAGTTCCTTATTATTCAAATGCACACAAATGAACAGATTATGGAGAGCACATTTCCTGTAAAGATGAATAATCCTTATGAGCTTAAAATCAAAATAATCATCCCTACAACCCATCTCACATGCAAAAGATTCCACAAGCGAGGTACGAAGCGTAAGGAATAAGTGTCACTGTTCAAACAGACTTACTGTGCAAATACTCTTTATCAAAGCCTGCAGATGAGGACCATCGTTTCTATATTTCTATTTAGCTAGCATTTCTATATTYGTATTTAGCTTGTGTATATTATATGTGGCCATGTAATTGCTTCTTTGGTTCAATTTTTAAGGATATGTATTTACTGCAGCAAGCTCTCTGAGCATGTACTCTTGTTTGCATAGGAGACAAAGCAGATGTGCTTCCTCCAAACACCTTTAAATGGATTTTGCCTCATAAAAGAGAAAGGATAATATGGTCCTGAAGCTGTGAGGTTAGGACAGAGCAAATGGTCTATGGTTGTGTGGTCTGTCATCAGCTTCCAGGGTAGGTCACTTAAGGTTATATTCCTTTAAATCAGTATAACTCCCTTCATAAGCTGTGGAAAGAAAGAGGCATCTCTAGAGACCCATTCTTTCATCCTACAGTAAGTGAGATGAATTACCCCTTGGAAATGCTGCTTGCTCTGGGTTGACTGTACAAGGAGTGCATTGAGGCCAGACTATCCCCACTCACATATCTGTATTCCAGACATTCACATCTGGCCAGAGAAAGCCTGTCCTAAACACCTAACCTGCAGCCAAGTGTGCTTGGGATGGACAGATCCTGTCTTAAGTCTCTTCCTGCCTCATTTGTTCATCTGCAAAAGGGGTTGCAGCACTTCCCTGTCTCATGTGGGAGCTGTGAATACAAAGACAGAAAATGATGGTGAGATGTTTGGTTACTACAGAATGAGGAGACATATGCGTGCACTTGGCAGATAATATATCTAATATATCTATTATTAGTTTTTGAAATTGCTAGCAGGGGGTGGCAGGAATAAAAATCCTCTTTGAAGACTTCACAGACTTTTCACAAGGCTTCTTATCCTATTTCAAAACCATTCTGAAAAATGGAATGGAATTTCCCAAGTTCAGAGCTTACAGAATGTGGACACAGAGGGAATTAAACCTTTACCTTCCTCAGAACCAGAGCAGTTACAGTTCATTTACACATTTATGTCAGTTAAAGGAGTCTCCTTCTTTCAAAACAGGGTATAATTCCCATCATAGCTCAGAAATCCATGCATTTAAAGACATGTAAATATGAATTTAAAGAGAAAAGGTTACCCATTTTCCAAGCAGGACTCTTCTTTCTTCAAATACCTATAAAAACATATACACACAAATAAAATTGAATATTTAAAGGCAGATTCAATATGAAAAAAAATCAGTTTTAAAAACAATCTCTGTAACCTATAAATATTAAATGGAATTACAGAATAGTTGAGGTTGAAAGGAACCTGGCCCAAACTCCCTGCTTAAAGTAAGGTCAAGGAAATCAGGTTGCTCAGGGCTGTGTCCAGTTGGATTTGGAATATCCTCATGGATGCAGACCCTAAAGCCTCTCTGGGCAACGTGTTCCAGGGTTTGACCACCTTAGAATCATAGAATCACAGAATGCTTAAGGTTGGAAGGGACCTCAGAGGTCATCGAGTCCAGCCCCCCTGCTCACACAGGGTCACCTAGAGCACGTGGCACAGGGCTGCATCCAAGYGGTTTTTATAGATCTCCAAAGAAGGAGACTCCACAGCCTCTCTGGGCAGCCTGTTCCAGGGCTCGGGCACCCTCACTGTCAAGAAATGTTTTCTTAAGTTCCTGAGAAATGTTTTCTTAAGTTCCTGGTGCTTCAGTTTGTGGCCGTTTCCTCTAGTCCTATCGCTGTCCAAAACTGAAAAGAGGCCGGCCCCATCCTCCTCACTGCCTCCCTTGAGGTATTTACAGACACTGCTCAGGTCCCCCCTCAGCCTTCTCTTCTCCAGGCTGAACAGGCCCAGCTCCCTCAGCCTTTGCTCACAGGGCAGATGTTCCAGGCCCCTGATCATCCTTGGAGCCCTGCGCTGGACTCTCTCCAGCAGCTCCACATCCCTCTTGTCCTGGGGAGCCCAGAACTGGACACAGGCTCCACATGTGGCCTCACCAGGGCTGAGTAGAAGGAGATGATTCCCTCCCTCGACCTGGGGGAGACGCTCTTCTTAATGGCCCCCGTTGACCTTCTTGGCCACCAGGGCACACTGCTGCCTCGTGGTCATCTTGTCATCCACGGTGATACCCAGGTCCCTCTCTGCGGTGCTGTTCTCCAGCAGGTCAGTCCCCAGCCTGTCCTGGTGTCCGGGTTATTCCTCCCCAAGTGCMGAAACATTAACATTAGTCTTTGTGGCTCTGTTGTCACTGGCCACTTTGCAGTGACAACCTACAAGAAGTCTGATCTGTCAAAATTTGTGACGTGGACCTTTATCATGTRGAGCTGAGCCTGAAGGCACCAGCAAGTGACTTCCCAAAACTGCCTTCTGCACTCATGATTGTGACCTGGGAAGTAGGAAAATGCTGTAGATGTGTTTTTTTTTCTTTTTTTTTTTTTCAGACGATAGATCAAAGAGCACGTAACTGCACGTAAAAACAGCTATTAACTRGAAGCAGGAAAACATGGTTAATCATTATGAACTCCAAATATGATATTGCTTTGACAGCCTGCAAAGAAGGTTCCTGCAGAGAAAGACATCCTCAGTGCTGCCGGTCTGGTAGAGCAGATGTCTGTTTTAGCTCTGTCTCTCTCAGCAGGAGCGTCTCTCGTGAGGGGTGGGAAAAATGACATTACTTTTATTTGCATGTTGACAGTTTTTTTGCTTTATTTGCATGTGGGACACTTGGCAAAGTAAAAAAGCCCCCTAACGAGCTTTGTATTGGCTGCACTTGGAAAGGATTTGCCACRAGCAAGTGATGAATAGCCAAAGATCTAAGTTTTGGGTTAGATAATTCAAGTGAAACAGGGAGCTATTTATATAACCGAAAGCAATCTTAATGATCTTTGATCAAAGAAAGACACGTATTTGCTTTTGGCATTCTTGGAGATACATCTGAGCCAACTCTTTCAGACGGTTCTGCTTACTCCAGGCACTTGGAAGCATTAACYAGCAACAGAATGGCCCAAAATGGGTATAATCCTCCACTACCTTCATCAAGCCCATGCTTCCTGTCCTCCCTTCCAAGGCCTTGGAATTATATCCACAGTCTACTGAAGTTGGTTGCTCTTGGATGCAGCCGCAGGCCTAGGATGCTACCGAGAACAGTCATCCCACATTGATTTCTTCAGGTGGTTTTAATTAAAGTCCAAGCTTCCTTGGCAAGTCCCTCTAGCCCTTGCCACACAATATCCCTGGGGACTCTTGGACCTCACTACCAAAGTGCTGTCTAGCAGGAGGCCACCTCAGCACACGAACCTTTGCTTTGTGGAGCACAGCCCCATGGTCAGCACAACTTGACAGGTTGGGTTTGTTGGGTTGGTTKGTTGACAAGGTGACAATCAGGACAACTTGATGCATCCCCTAATTTTACTGCATCCTTAGCTCTAGTCCAGCTTCAGCATCTCTCCCTCTAAAACCACCATGGCTGCCCAGCAATAACTCCCAGAAGTGGGAGAAGGGGTAAATTTACTCTACTGACTGTCTTTGGGTTGGCTCCAAATCATGGTTTAGATGGAGCTTAAATAGTTAAATGCATCTGTCTTGGATCAACTCTGATCTCTCATAGTCTGTTCTACCAACAAGCAGAGCAGAGAACAAGTAGGACAGACTACTTTATTCTACCTTGCCCAGGCATCTCTTTTCTCCCTACACTCTCATCTTCTCTTTGGGATTTTTTGCATCATCTCATGACTACAAAGTCTTTTTTCTCTTCCCTCAAGAATGCAGAAACGAGCACAGAGATGACTGCAGGAAAACGGCACCTTCTCACCCACGAGCTCCCTACGGATATTAATTTGATTATCTCCCAATTTCAGCTGTCAGCAATGTTTTTGTTGCAACTTATTTTTTTTTTCACTAATTCTGCAGAGCCAGCACTGGCAGTAGCACCGTGATAAACGAAACAGAGTTTCAGGTGGATTCATGCTGTAAAAGCCTGGATCAGAAACAAATAAACACTTTTTATCATGACTTTCATCATGAGCACAGGTCTGGCAGATGATGCTATGTGCTCTTCTTCCTGGAACATCTTTAAGGGCTGGAGTACACAACAATTCAATGGGAGATCTTAAAGGTTTTGATGCAGCCCCATGCACTTATGACTGCCCAAGAAGCACAGGAGTTGGTGGGAAAGGGTGGTTTTACTCAGGAACCTTTTGCTGGTGAGATGAGACTTTCTTGCAAAAAGATGCAACTTCCATGAGACTTCCAAGAGAGTGTAGGAAGGAGACATTAAAATGATTCAAAGGTTGGAGAATCTGCCAGATGGGGAGGACTTCAAAGGGCTCAATCTGTTTAATTTATCAAAAAAAGATCAAGTGTTGGCTTGATGCACAGTGAGAGAACTTCCACAAAGTCTACTGGTTATAGAAGACTTGAATAAACTAGCACGGGAAGATGTGGATGATGAAACTAATGCTAGAGGTATTCAGACAAATGACAAGGTCTCATCCTGTAATGTTACAAGGGATTAACCATCAGAAAAAAAAAATACCATGGGAAATGATAAAATTTACATTTTTTGGTAACCCCAGGAGGCTGGGTACTTTCCTGGAAAATACGTTTTTGTCACTGAGTTCCAAACACAGAAAACTGAGCAAAACCAGAGGACCTGAGAAATCCAGAAATGTCCATGATGTAATAGCCCACTCTGAACCAAACTCTATGAATCATCCACAGAATTCTAAACTGAATTTCAAGAGCAGACTATGCTCCTTGTGATGGTGCAGGAGCCAAAAACCCTCAGCTGTGTTAGCAGATCCCAGATATAGTTTGCAGAGTGGGAGGCTAGGAAGTGCATCTGGTTATTTATAAATTAAGTGCATCACTTTAGTTTCCAAAATATTAAGGCAGCCTCAATGCTGCCAGGTCTAGCTCTCTCYCCTAGGAGCTGAGATGGAGCCACCTGGAAACTTAGACTGACACTCACTTTGCTTTGAGGTTGAACTGAAGCCTTCTGATGTAAAAAAAAATAATAAAAAGGTTGATTTAGCAAATTCTGCTAAAAAAAGATTATTTTTTAATTTAAAAACAACTGATTAGACAAAACAAAAAAGGCAATACTTGGACTAAATACCTGTGTGCTTTAAAAAACATACAATAGAACATTTGATTTTTTATATGACATATTGATGTATCTATGTTATAAAGATGTGTTTGTGTGGACACATTCGTATGTGATACATATATATGCTCTTAATAGTAAATAGAATCTGTAAATTCTTTTTTCATTACTCATGACCTTCACAGGGAAAATCACAAWGTAATTTTATCTGAGGCTTGATAATTTGCCTTAGGATTTGAGAATATTCAAAATTCTGTCTGGACAAGATATGAGCAACCTGTCTAGCTGAGATTGTTTTGAGCAGGGGCCTTGAACTAGATGAACTCTAGTTCAATTTGCATCAGGAGGAGYGTTGCCAGCAGGTCAAGGGAGGTGAYTCTGCCCCTCTMCTCAGCTCTGGTGAGGCYGCACCTGGAGTACTGTGTTCAGTTCTGGGCACCCCAGTATAGGAGGGACGTGGAGCTTCTGGAGAGGGTCCAGAGAAGGGCAACCAGGATGATTAAGGGAATGGAACATCTCTCGTATGAAGAGAGGCTGAGTGAGCTGGGCCTGTTTTCTCTGGAGAAGAGACGGCTCAGAGGGGATATGATTAATATGTATAATTCAGGAAGGGAGAATGCAGGGAGGAAGGGGACAGGCTGTTCTCACTGGTGGCCAGCGATAGGACGAGGGGTAATGGCCACAAGCTGAAGCATAAGAAGTTCCGTCTCCAGGTGAGGAGCAACTTCTTCACTGTGAGAGTGACAGAGCAGTGGAACAGGCTGCCCAGGGAGGCTGTGGAGTCTCCTACTCTGGAGGTCTTCAAAACCCGCCTGGATGCCACCCTGTGCCACATGCTGTAGGTGTGCCTGCTTGAGCAGGAAGGTTGGACTAGATGATCTGTAGAGGTCCCTTCCAACCTTAAATATTCTGTGAATCTGTGAATCTGTGAACTCCAGAGGTCCCTTCCAACCTCAACCATTCTGTGATTCTCTGAATTTGACCCACAAAATCTCCCTTCAAAAATAARGGCAGCTTTTCCACCTAGAAGTCAAATTCATCAGGTGATTCAAGTAGTGTCCTCTTGTTTAAATTATTTAGGTTTCAGCCTCTAACGGGTTATTTGGAACTTGCCTTGTCATTCATGAGTTGATGGTTGAGGGGGGTCCACGTGCTCATTTTGGTTTGTAGCTTGGGGCCGTCCATGTTTTTAGCAGGTGCAAATGCCATGGATTTGTGAGACGGTGGATCCCCTGAGGTCTTGTTGGCTGCAAAAGCTGCAACAAATAAAATAAAGATCAGCATTATTTCKGCACTCCTCCACGACTCTATGTTAGTGAAAATCAAATTACTTGAAGGAAGAACTCAAAGATTTCACCGCACAGCAATTACACAAGCAAATTTCTTGGTAAGTCAGTTGGTAAGACCTTSATTTTATTTTTATGTATCTACAATAACCATGAGAATGGAGGCCACATTTCCCTGTGGAATTACCGTGCACTAATGAAACCCAAATAATCAATAATCAAGTAGGTCTTTCCTGTCACAGATGCTGAATATGGCCTCTGCTTTTCGCTGCATGAATAGTGACAACAGGGCATTTGCAGCAAGGCAGAATGCAAATGAAACTTCCCTTTCCAGTTGTTGGCACTGAAAATTGTAGGCAGCATACTGACCTGGAGTTTCTTTTTTTTTAAAATGATGCAAAATAGGTTTTTACTGATTTTGACGGGCAAATAATGCCAGGTCTCAACGGGCCTGTTTGTTTCTTTTACACTCAGCTGAGAGAATTAAATTCAAAACGGTTCAGAATTGACTGAAATCTCTCAGGATTCTGTCTTTAGGCAGATTTTTAAGGGCTGTTTGGACAGACCACACGGCTGTGTGAAATCCCAAGCCCCAGACAAAATTCCTGTTGGTATCAATGGGAGTTTCATCTTCAAAAAAACACTGTAGGATCTGTCTGGGCACATCACCTTTTTTGATTAGTTTCCCCTCCCTTTCTCTCCTACGTTATTATGGAATCAAAGAGGGAAAAGGGAGTAAATGAAAGAGCTGCTGTTACATCTTTCTCTCTCCATCTGGTATGGCTCCAACGCAAGAATATAAGTTCATTATGAGTCTGGCTTTTTTCTTTCTTTTTGCTGGAGTTTCTTAAATAACTTCTAGTASACAGGCAGCAATTCCAGCTTCCCACAGAGACACCACGAAGAGCTGAAAGACCTGCAAATGTTTCCAGGTTTTACATTCAGAAGTTAGCAAAAGTTGGAAACTTCTCGTGCGACTTCTTAGGTGCGTTTGGGTAAATGGGTTCACTTAGGGGTTTGGGCAAGTTCTATGCTTGTGTTTTTTTGTTCTCATTTTTATTCCTGCAATGCCCCTGCCTTTTTCAATGCACAGAAGTGCAACATTGCAAGCTGGAGAAACAGCTCCACTGCCAAAAAAAAACAGGTTCAGGCAACTATGCCCTGTTTTTCAGGGACAAGCCTCTCCATTAGTCACAAACCCATCAGTTGTCACTGCAGCACGCTCCCAAGTCCATGTTGCTGTTCCAGTTTGCCTCCCCTCCAAAGCCCTGCTTGCCTGATGCTGGGACAGCCGCCCTGGCAGAGCTCAGCACTGCTCCTGGACCCACTTGTGCTCCTTTCGYGCCAAAAATGGGGGTTCCAGCACCCCTGGTAGAAGCCACATTGTAGCCCCCCATGCCAGAAATCCACATTTGCCCGAGCTGAATGTGATATGACAAACACAATATGTTAAAGGGGGCTGCAAAGGCAAGGAGCATCCAAGTAGGAAGTGAGTGCAGCCTGAGACTTGCACACATGGCAAAGCCTGTCTGCTMTCCCTGCCAGCTGCATTTGGGATCACAGGATAGGCAGGGAGCCCCACATCCAGCCTCGGCAGCCTGTGTTTACAGGACACATTCTTTGATGAAGCTGGGGCCTTGCAGTGTCACTTTAGAGCACGTTTTATTTGGTTTCCTCACAGGCGTATGGTGTACACTGGGATCCAGTGAGCTTTTTCATTAAGAAGATCCTCAGTTCCATGCAATGTAGCCATCAGAGTYAGAAAATCTGRGAGTATCTTACCTGTAATACACAGTTGGCTTAAAAATTCAAYTGCAATTTGCTCACAGACCTTCTAAGACTTAGTTTACTGAGCATGGTTGTCTGTTGCCAAGGGCAAAACCTGCCCTTGCCTTCCCTACACCAACTCTCCCCATTCTTGGCAGGATCCTGCTTCTCCGAAAGTCTCGGATCCTGCCGATTCAAGGAGGAATATGCGGCAGCCAGATGGGGCTGCCACAGCTTTATGCACTAAAATGTGTATAAAAATGTGCATAAACTAAAAGGTGACCAGTGTGGTGTACGCACCGGGGCTGGCAAGGTCTGTAGCTGGGGCCCTGCTTCTCTTCAGCACCAGTCGTTATCTTTGGACTCCTTGCCCACAATAACATTCCAGAGATTGCTCCAGCTGGTTCTTCACGTATCCTCGGATGAAATTCATCCAGCTCAGCTGATCCAAAGTGCAGCCAACCAGCAAGGGACAGCAGATGAGGTTAATAAGCTTGAAATATAGAGAGGGCAAACGTTGGTTCTCTGTGCAAGGAAGAAAACTATAGAAGCAGTTAATAATATCCATCTCTTAGGAAAAAACAACAACAGAAAATGAGTAGGTGGCAGGTATAATAAATATCAGCAAAAGAGAGGCTTGGGGAAAAGGCAGCGGAAATAATAAGGGTTTTTTAAGCACAGAAGGTGTTTCCAAGCTGCTTGTCTGAGGGAGGCGTAGAAATCCCACTGAAGCCAATGGAAATCCTTCCACTGACTGCCCTACCAGGTGGGTCAAGCTCATAATATGAAASAACCTGCATTTAAGGTTAATGATAGGGAATGATCACGTCGTATTCAACCCCCGCCCCCGCTCCGGCCACCATCACCTCACGGGCAGCCCCAGCGCTCCCCCCAGCGCCTCCCGCGCCGCTCCTCCCGGCAGGGCCGCGCTGGGGCCTGGCCCCTTCCCACGGGACACGCTCCCCTGTGCCCCCCATGTTCCCCCCCGGGCCCGGCCGGGYCGCCCCTCACCCTCACCAGGCCTCCTTCCTCCCGCCAGGCCGCCTCGCGTCGCCATGGCAACCGCTTCCCGCGGCCTGTGCCCCCCCCCCCAGCAGGAGGGCGGCAGCCAATCAAAACGCGCCGCCGGGATAGCGTTGCGGCGGGGGGGGACTCTGGCTCATCTTAGCAACCTGCCCGTCCCTGGCGCTGATTGGTTCGCTGGGCCCGGCGGGGCGGGGCGCGGCGCGAGGGCGGGGCGCGCGGGGGGGGCGCGGCCGTTGCGGCCGTTGCGGCCGTTGCTGCCGCCGCCACCTGAGGAGAGACGCGGCGGGCGGAGCGGCGCGGAGCGGAGCGGCGCGACCCCTGCGCGGAGGTAACGGCGCGGCTGCGCCGCGGCTTTTCGTCGGGGATGCCGTTTCTGCCCGTTTATTTCCCCTCTCCCTTCCTCGCTCGCAGAAACACTCGGTGCCAGGGGTGGTGCGGGGGGGGAGAAACAGCCTGTGGGCGCGGGGGCGAGCGAGGCCGAGGCGCGGCAGGCGCCTGAGGGCCGGGGATGCTGCTCCTATATGTCCCTCCCTTCCTTTCTCCAGTGTGGAGACCCGCGGGGAGGGACTCGGTCCAGCCTTCCCCACTGCTCCTCACAGTGTGATGGGGGCCCTAAGGGAAGGTGGTGCCTCCCCCCGCCATTCCACCTGCAGCGAACCCAAGGGGCTGCTGATCCCACACGCTTTGCTCTTTATTTATTTATTATTTAGTTTATTGTTTTGCAATGCAGCAGAAGCAATGCAGAAGGAAAGGGAAGCTCTTCTTCCCCCTTTGCCATGGCGATGCAAGGGCCCCTTCCTCGTGCAGCACCGTGGGGACCCAGGGACAAGAGGTGCTATTGCTGGGCACGTTGCACCCTCCTTTCTTTCCCCGCTCTTTGCAGTGCAGCAGGAGATCCAAGGGGATCCCTGTGCATACAGTCCCTCCTTTTTTTCCTCCCATTGAAGCATGCTCAGGATGCTCAGGGATGCTCTCTGCACCCAAGGGATGACAGCCCAGCGCCTGCTCCCCCTCCTCCGCCTTGCCCTGCAATGTGCGCTCTAAGACAGGGATGCTGCGTCCATCCTGCTCCCGCTTTCTCCCCTTGTCCTTTGTAAGAAGCTGATGTTCTTCTTTTCCCCCTTCATAATGCAAAAAGAGGCTCCCTCTTGTACCCCTGCTGTTCCAAACACAAGTGAGGGATGAGTCTTCCCTTCCTTTCCCTTCCTGTGCTCCCTGCTGCAGTGGAGCTGGGAGCAGAGAGAGGAGAAAGGAGATGCTCTGCACCATCCTGCCTCCTGGCATGATGACAAGGAGTGTGGACACATGGAAAAGCAAGGAAATATCTCTTCTCCCAATTGCAATAGAGAATGTGGGGTGTTTTAGGGGCGTTCTCCCTTYGTGAACAATAAAAGCGGAGCAAGGGAGCACAGCCCTGGAGTTTCTTTCCCACTAATGGGCATGCAGTTAGGAGAAGATGCTGTTCCTCTTTTCTCCCTTTATGTTTGAGGATGGACTGCGTTAGGATGTGGTGCAGGGAGCTCCCCTCCTTCCATGAGCAGAACCAGGTGGTGACGATCTCCCCTTGTGCCCCACATTTTACAGGAAGGATCTATGTTGTTGTATCATTCCATTTCTCTGGGACAGGTAAACATATATAATATGTTTATTGTTTAAATGTATATAATATATGTTTAATATGTAATATATTCACCTCTTTTTGAAGTCAGGTGACCCTTTTTTCATTGCTTCTGCCCCCATAGTAACTTTGAAATTCATTTTATAACAGAATTTGCTTTCACTTTATGAATTTCACTCTTTATAATAATCTTCTATGTGTGTCTCAATTTAGCTTTTAGATTAGGAATTGGATGGGCTTCCAGAAATATAAATAGCATATAAATCCATAACCATAGTAATTAACTCGTTGTTTCCTACCCATTTGCCTATAGCTCTTTTTTTTACATTGCCTTGGGGTAGATAGGTTGGTATCCCCTCCTCCTCTTTTATCCTCAGTGTCATGAAATGCGTTTTTGTTCTGTTTTGCTTTCATATACACATTTAAAAATAACCACAAAAATTCACATGTGGAGGTTGAACAAGGAGCATACAAAACTGGATCTGTGGTAAGAAGCTATCTTGAAACTAAGAATTGCAGTACTAATTTGTCTGCATGAATTATTAGGTCATCTGTATTTGATACTAGTCTTAGAGCCAAGCTGTTAGAAAGCAAAAGTTTAGCCTCATTTGGCTTTTGCAACTTTATGGTCTCATTTATTTACTTGTTTTTCTGAATTTTATCCATTTTTTTATTTCTCCATGAAAGGGCCCTAAGTGACTGAACTTCAGAACTTTAACTTTCTTTTCTGGCTCTAGCAAATATTTTCTTGATTTCTTTTTATGCTACTATATGGTAGTAAGATCTTGAGCATAAAATAAGTGCTGTGAGGACTGTTGTCTCCTCTTCTTTCACCCAGCTACCTTGTCATGGTTTGCTGAGTCTGGGTGTGTGTCTGTTCGCAGTTCAAGGTGTGGGAAAGTCAGAGGACTCATGGATTTGTTTGGAGTCGCTGTGCTGTGAATGTCATTAATACGATGCTTTTTATGAAGTGTGCTTGGAATTTTTCCCAAGAAGTGACCAAGCTCTAGATCCTGACCTGGATTTACCCATGTTTGTGGTGAGACAATTCCTGCTGTGGATACAGATCATCTTATGTTGCTTTTGAACTTCTCTTGGGAAGCCTCCCCTAATTAATCACTGCTGGAGTGAGTTATAGGGACCACGGATCTGTGCTAAAGAGGCAACTGCTAATCCATGCTGGAAGTCTGCTTCACTTAAACTATGGAATAGTCTTTTTGAGTTGATAGCCAAAGTGTTTTTAAAAAAAACTTGATGTGCTTTTTTTTTTTTTTTTTTTTTGTGTGTGTGTGTGTGTGAATTTAGGGGAACCATTTTTAAAATTAGAGTGCCAGAATCAAAGAGGGTTGGTAGCTTGAACAAAACTGAGGAGGAGTTTGTTCTGTTAATAATTTGTAATACTCTGATCAGGTGGTAAGAATCTGCAGAGGATAGAAAGTCTCGGAGTTAAGCAGTGCTGCCTGGAAGGTAGAACAGCTTGTGTTCTTTTTCCTTTATTTTTTAAAGATGCATTAAACTGTTGGAAAACAAATCTGAGGAATGATTTTCCTTCAGTCAGAGGGGCATAGCTTTTCAAGGCCACATGAATGTGAAATTGGATAAAATGCAGGCATGGTCAGTTCTAAGAAGTCTTAAATACTGTGGCTGATTTTCATCTTTTAGTTTCAGTGTGCTGTTGCTCTTCCCCATAGTATTTGCTTGCTTCAATATATAAGCAAGATGCTTTGATTTAAGAACTACTACTTGATTCTGCTGCCTAGCTTGAGRTTTAGAAAGTTCTATTTTTGCTTTCTTTGTAATGTTATATTTTTCCTAGGTTTGGGGTGATTTTTACTCTTTGTGTTCTTTTCTTTATGTACTTGAGTGCCAATTCCCTGTCGATAGCAGGGAGGGAGTAAGCAGCCTGGAAGCAACATGTCAATGAAAGCAAATTACCTTCATTATGCTTAGCACCTTGGTCTTTGTCCTGTTTTCATGTTTGTTTTTGACAGCTAGTCTCAAACAGCAACAGTCAAAATCATTGCCGCACATTGTATCAGAAATGGCTGGTATCTGTTTTTTCCTCACCATAAGAAAGGCTGTGTAAATGAAAGTGTTTTTTATATATACATAAAACTTTTTTGAGCAGCCCATATGACTTTTCTAGAAGTATGACAATCAACTCTTTGGTTTCTTACTAAATTTGCATTAAGGAGATTTTTTTTCATTTCTTTTCTGACTTGCAGAATTTTTCTTTTCCCGAATACCTGAGGAAATCAATTACTCAAGACTGGAAGTCTATTCAGTGCAGTAGTTTCTTCCTCTTGGGAAAGTTGCTGGAGTATTTGGGATTTTCTGGTTCAAACAGGATTTCCGAATCTGCTACCTTTTAATGCAACACATTATTCTTTCWAAGCAGCTGGCTGAATTTTGTAGGTTCATTGCTATAAGACAAAGCTGTTAAACAAAAGGATTCCTTTATACCCTTTCAGCACTGGCTGCTGCTTTTGCTGCTTTCGCCTCTGAGTCCCAAGTTTGTTTTTCCAGCAGACTGGTGCAATATGTGGAGTCCCTGTTCTACTTGTTCTCCCTCTAGCCCCTTACTGCTGAGAAAGTGCAGATCCAGCCCTAGGCAATGATTACTGTTTAAATTGGCTCTAAAGGTATTAAGGAACTGGCAGAACAACCRTAAATAGCCACCTTTGCAGTTTCCATCTTACAGTGTGTGGAGAAAGGGATGGTCAAAATTTGCTGTCCTCTGGCTTACCCTCAGCTTTATGATGGTCTTTATAGGCACCATACTGCTGATGGCAAAGAGAAAGTGCTAAGAGGGGGCCGATATATTATCMTTTTGTGGCCAGCCTGCATCTGGATTTGTGTGTGAGAAAAGTAGCCGTGTTTCAGGTCAGCTAGCCAAGCCATGAATGTGACGTGCAGGGCAAAACACTAGACTTCAAGGCTGCAAGTTGTGACTTGTGTACTGGTGCTGGCGACAACTGTTCTGTTTTTGTTTTGTAATTATTCAGCAGAAGTTATGTGACCATGCAACTAAAGATCCTATCATGGTGAATGTACCTGTGGAGATGCTGAATCATAAATAGCTTGGTTTCAATGTGGTCAACAGCTGTAATTATCACTTGGTTAAATTTAAAGTGTGTATATATTTTTTTAAATATTTACTTCATAGTAAATACATTCTTCTTTTTCCTCATCCATTTTAGATAAATTTTACAGCACACCACTTTTTTTTCCCCCTCACAAGAAAAAAAATCAGCAACTGGAATTAAGACTTGGCAAGAGACCTTCTAATCTTTCACTTGTCTCTTATACTTGATGATTTCAAGCAATTTGTCTGGCAGATGATCTAGCGTTAAATACTTAATAAATTACAAGACTTCTTATTGTATTCCATTTCAGGTCATCTAACAAAACAAGAACTTAATGCAGCTGCTGTTCAGTCAGGATGGAGTCAATTGTGTGGGAATGTGGATAAACACTTCATGGCTTAACCTAATACCTACTCTTTAATAATGTGAAAAGAAAAAGCAAGATGTTTCACACCTCTGCCTCCAACGCATCACCGGAACTCCACAAACAGTGTTGTATACAACGAGCATCCAAGTTTTGAAGAGTCTTAAAGAAGGACTGAGAATATTGGTGTTAAATTGAAATCTGAAGATACGTGAGGCATTTAAAGAGTCTTCTGACTGGGCTCCATAACTGGCCCCATTCTTGTGGAAGGATGGCTGCTCACTGGATGTTCTGTTACCTTTGGCTTTTGGATGTTTTGGTGGGGCACACAAGGGGACACAGCTTGTTTTCCTGCGAGCCGATCATCTTGCGGATGTGCCAGGATCTACCTTACAACACCACCTTTATGCCTAACCTTCTGAACCATTACGACCAGCAAACAGCTGCATTAGCAATGGAGGTAAGATTCAAGCCACTCTTTTCACCAGTATTTGGTTTAAACCTTTAATTGGCTAATTTGTAACAGAAATCCAAAAGATGTTTACATAATTTCAGTATATAAACAAATACTACTGAGAAAAGATGTATTGTAATATATACTAAAATATTCTAAGACTGCAGAATTTGCCTAATTTGGTATAACTGAATGTGAAATAGTCTGGATGTGCTTGTATGTTAGCCTGTTACTTTAAATATTTAGACAGATCAAGAATGCATATTTTGAGTGCTCTGTCAGCTAACTACAAACCAGAAAGAAATGCATACTGAATGATCAATAAAAGATTTGTAGTTTTGAGTAGTATATTCTCCAATGGTTTGGTAGCACTTGGCTTTTTCTTACTCCACAAAAAAATTGGTGTGAATGAAATACAAACAAGAGATGGTTAATTTACTAGTAGATTTTTTTTTTTCAACTGCAAGTAAATCTGTTGTCTTGAAGTCAATTTAGTTATCTTTGTCCTATATTCAGGCAGGCAAGCTGGTATACTTGTGCTTTTCTTGCTCTAATTTTGTTGTTAGCCACCGTTATCCCCAAAAGCTTTCCTTGGGTTTATGCGTAATCATTTTCTTCTTTTTTAATTACATATATAACAAATTGTTCATTCCTCTTCGAAATGTAGAACATGAGGCGTTACCAGATTAACCAAATACTTCAGGGACCTAGAGGTTTTGTTTTGGTTTTGCCCAACTGAAAAAAACRCACAGTAAAAGTTAGTTGGGAAAGTGGAGTGTGGCTTATACAAAGGGAAATTTTGCCTTGCAAATCTCTTGGAGTTTTCTGAGGGATTCAACAAACGTGGRTAATAGTTATCCAACTAAGAGAGTCTACTTGACTGACCGGAAACCATTTTTTAGAATTTGTACCCTGTATGTAGATAAGAAAGTCATAGCAAGAATAGATAAGTGCTGGTAATTGCTAAGATTGGAAATATCTGGTGGAGATATATGCATAAATGATCTAGAAGAGTTAGCAATAAGGTGAGAAAGTCATTTGGGACTATTGTGAACACCTTAAAACTTAGGCCAAACCAGAGTGAGGAGTAGTAAAGATTCCCTTGAGATTTATTTCATACCTTGAGTCTTAAAACCGTGGACGGAATTCGAAGCGGTAAATAAGTGGKTTTTTTTAATACATATCAAGATATGTCAGGAGGAGATGATAATTTTCTTACCAGTGGCAGTGGTCAGCATGTCATCTTGGACTTAGGATATTTTGTTCTGTTCCTGCTTTTCTTGTACTTCCCCAGTATCCACAGTTCCTGAGGTTTGAGTGTTAGAGGATATTCCCACATCTCTTCCCGTTATAATATGATTTTATGGGCCTTCGTTGCTGAATTTGTCCAAGATATTTTTGGAATGCGAGATTACCTACCTAACCCTTTAGTGAAAGCAAACTCCAGAAGTTCACTAAGAACAGTGTAAAGAAGGACTTATTCTCCAACTTCTTTTAAACCAGTCTCCTGCTAATTTCACTGAATACCCTGTTGTTCTAGCATTGTGCAAGATTGTTCTGCATTGACTTCTTCTGCTGCATTTGTGATTTTGGAAACCTCCGTCTTATCCCTCAGGCTTTTCCTCTCCAATTAGAAGAGTCCCAGCTGTTTGGGTTTTTTCTTGCTGCTTTATTCCAGGAACGGTTTTAGTTACCCTTTTCCAAACTGTTTCCAGCTCTCTATCCTTGCGGAGGTGCAGGGTTGAGAGCAGCACGCAGTACTCTGCATGTGGGCACGCTGAGGGTTTAAACAAAACGATACTTTTCATTGTCAGTAACTTCTTGGTAATGACCAACATCATCTTGCCTTTTCTGGCTTTTGTTGCTTGCTAGGCCAAATTAATTTCAGAGAACTGTCAAAATATCCCCTTTGCTCTTCCTAATAGTATGTTTATGGCCACTGCTGGAAGTAGAGAGGTAGATTATATAGACCCTCAGTCCAAACCAGAGTGAKTGGTTATAGTTTTTCTTGTCTTCTCCAAATAGCTTTCTGCTAAGGGGAGAAAAAAGTTGAGATGGGGATGTTCTTGATGCAAAGGTTATTTTAAATGTAGCATAGGCCAACTGATGTCATAGCCTAAAAAACGCTAATGGGAGCATATGTAGTATCTCCTACTGCCAATGTAGTGTATAGGCCAGTGGTTTCAGCCTGAGGGTGTGCTATAGGCACTCCCGAATGCTGCGTAGGAATACAAGGCTATTATTGGTATATTTAAATTCACTGTGCAGCGGCCTGCACCTCCATTCCAGGCTTTCTAGGGCTTTGCCTGGGGGAAACAAAAACAAAGAAAAACTACAGGTTTGCATTAATATATTCTAACTCCTCAAACTAACATAGCTTCTCCCATGCTTTGTAATGGAAAGGTTTAGCATTTAGCATTTTAGCTTATATTTCAAGTTCCAGTAAAATGGGTGGAATACTCGATTTGTGACCTGACTGAGGGAAAGTAAAACCTGCATGGTCATATTTCTGGGTAAATAACACTCATGTCTTCACCCTCCTTAATTTTCTCCACACACAAAAGAACATGGCGGCAAGGATGGTGTGATTTTAATCTTGTGTACTGGGGGAGTGGAGTCCTGTAATTAAGTTTTCATTGGCACTTTTCAGCAGCAGTTCATAATAAAATTTGTTTGCTTTGATTATGGGCGTACGCGCTGAGCCACTAGCCAAGATTAGCATATAAACTGCAAGGGGAAAAAACCTGTTACTGGAGTTCAGTATAATGAGTGCTTTAAAACATCATTTATGACACCTATGTTAGTATAAAAGGTGCTAGCTTTCATTGTTTCCTTGTTGTTTTACATTTAAAAATAAAAAAAGATTTTTTWAAAGAGCTTCTATTACAATAAAGAGTAAACTTCAAGCAAAAAGAGAACTTTTACAGCTTCTGTCTTGCCTTCAATAAGCAAAACGTGCCTCTCTTTCCATACTGCTAATGGCTGTGTTGAAGGAACTGCTGAAAACTTTTCACTTGTTAATGTCTCGAGACCTCAAGAGAATACCAGTATTTGCCTTTTTGAGTCTTTAAACTAACATAGTTCCTTCAAAATTAAAGGTTAGTAATCCACTTTATCAACTTTATCAATAGTATCTTGTGTAGTTCCAGCAATGTTGCTATTAACCACCTTGATTAAGCAAAGAAGAATAGATTATTACAGCACTGGTCCCCCTTGGTGTATCGTGGTCCATCCTATAATCTGGGCGTCTGCCTTTATTAATCCTAGGAGGGTGAAAATGCCTTAAGCTTCTTGCTGTGCTGTGTCAGAAGGGGCTGCCTTAATCTGGGAAGACCGCAGGGAGGGATTTGTGCACATGGGGGCCTGCAGCATTRTTTTGTTCCCAAGTATCTCTTATGGGAATTACTCCTTCTGATTGTAACCAAACACCAGTTGCACTGGTCCAACCTCCGATAACATCTGCCTGGCTGTAGTCTAGACGAAGACACGAGTGGTTACAATATCCATTCCTTTCCAAAAGCAGCACTGTGTGTTGATGTCAGGTGTTAACTAACACACCGATGGCTCTGGAGTATCAGAGAGCTCAAGGGCAAACGCTCCTCTGCTCCCGGKCCAGCCCTGAGCCCGGGAGCTGTCCTTCAGGGCAGTCCTGGACATCAGGAACTGTGGCAACATCGGCCCYGTGCGTTTCCTTCCTCGCTGATCAGTGCTTTACACTGTCCTGTTGGGCATAAGGTTTTCTGAAAACTTTCCATAMGCTGTGAACAGGTCACTCCGTTAACACTTGCACAGTCGATGCTTGCTCTGCTGTTAACGCTTTATTATCACCAACACATCTAGAATAACCGTGGAGAAGATACTACACTGTGATGGTGCCTCGTGTCCTTTGCGTGATGTAGATCATGTGCTGGGCTGGATGGTGGCAGTGGAGAAGCTAAATGGCCCTCCCTGCCCTGAGGAATCTGACCTTGTTTAGCCCTCCCCGGGGTGATCCTCGCTACAATGTGAAGATTTATCTTTACACCCCTTTTTTTGAATTCAGTATTTCTCTGGCCTTGAAGGATTTGCTTACATGTAAGCCAGGAAAGCAGTGRTTTTAGCAGCCTTAAAGCAATTTTTGTAGGCAAATATTTTTATCAGAGAGTAAGTAACTAGTAGGAGCCTGCTGGAGCTTGCGAGCACATTATTAAAACATTTGTCACTGATGAATAGAAGGGGTTTGATATGATGATTGCCAGTGCTTTTGCAGTTAAACGTGCTGCTGCTTCTCCCTTCTCCTTACCTTGATCCTTATGGGATCTCACAGATGATGCTAGGGATCAAAGAGACTTTAAAGGACTGCAGGCAGATACAGTGGAGGGCTAAATGGGTCCCTCTGGGTGAATCCAGAAGCTTTTTCTTTAGGGATTTTAGTGGAGGTTGAAAGCTTTGGAGATGAGACAGCACAGTCCCCATCTGGACAGAGGAGATAACACATCATTATTTCAGAGACATTCACAACTTCCACTTTGCATTTCAAAAAAGAAAGAGCAGCAGCATGATAGACTTAGGGATTCACCATGACAAAGGTGGTTAGCATGTTTAGGTGGGAGGTGCAGAGGGGGGAAAAAAAAGGTTTATTTATATATTTCTAAATACATATATAGTTTTTATTTATAAAGCATAKTTTCTTATTTGTGGCAATATTTTTTCTCTTCTCCTCCCCTTGAAGAGTTTTGGAGTCTTAGAGTTAATTCATTTTTTGCACTTCAAGTGGGAAAGAATCTGGGTGCGAAAGTAACTTATAAGTAAAAATGGAATCAGTAGAAGATGGAGGTATCTTGTTCCCATCCTCATATTAGCATATGAGATGGGGTATTGATATATTATTGATATTTTAGATACAAATGGGAAGCATCTTTCTGTTTCCCTCTGAGTAGGCAAGAATGGGAAGAACGTAAGAAGACCCGTTACTCTTACCCCCTTTAATTTCATTTTTACCCATTTTCATCCATCTGCTCTTCCCC